AGACTAGTTAAGGTCAAATCCAGTCTCTGTCAACTAAGAGCTATATGACCTTGGGCAAGTGACCTTCTCCAAGCTTCAGTTTCACCATTTGCAAAATGGACATAATAACTAGGTCAACCTCATTAGAGTTTTTGGAAAAATTCTTGTAAATCTCTTGTCACAATGCCTGGTAAATAGCAATAAATAACTAAAAGCTATTTATTATCTTTCCCACATATAAAATAAGCAACAATTTGCATATTTTGACTCACCAGGCTATTTACCCTTGCAAGAAGATTCACCAGTTCTTCTTTTTTTCCAGTTTTATTGAGATATAATTAACATATAACATTGTGTTAGTTTAAGGTATACAACATAATGATTTGATATACATTGCAAAATTATCACAATAAGTTTAGTTAATATCCATCATCTCACATAGTTAGAAATTTTTTTCTTATGATGAGAGCTTTTAAGATCTAGTCTTTTAGCAACTTTCAAATATGCAATACAGTATTATTAACTATAGTCACCATGCTATACATTACATCCCAGGAATTATTTGTCTTATAACTGGGCCTTTTTTACTTTTGACCACCTTCAACCATCACCACCCCCATTTCTAAAATTTTTAAAATGCATCCTGTCTAGACACCTCCCTTTCTCAGAATCCATGGCCCTCCCTGACAAGTCTAGGATTGTGATGTTTGCCTATGGTGACCCACATGCATATTAACTGGGTTGTATAGTCCTTGTGCTCTGTTTGCATTCCTGTGGCTCCAGCCTGCAGAACACTTGCCTTTGATTGTGGCCCCTACAGATTGTGACAGCTGTGTTATGACACTCTTGAATGACCTGGCCACCATGGAGGACGAGCTCCGCTCAGTCAAGTCGCAGCTGCAGGAGCTGAGTGCCAGTGCGGGCACTCTGCAGCAGATGGGTCACTTGGAGACCCAGACCAAGGACCTGAGGGTAAGTAGCCTGTGGGTCCAGCATGATGCTGGCCCACATTAGATATGTGTTGAATAGATGCAGCATGAATGAATATTCCTCAAGCAGGAAAGGAGGGCTTCACTCCACTTAAGGTTCAGGGGGCTTTCCTCCTTCCTCTAATCTAAATGAAGATTGGATTCTTTTTAATTGAGGTATAATTGACCTACAATATTGTATTAGTTTCAAGTGTATAACAGTGATTCAGTGTTCACATACATTTTGAAGTGATCACCACATAAGTCTAGTTACCTTCTGTCACCATACAATGTTATTACGGTACTATTGGTTACTTTCTCCATGCTGTTTGCTGCTTCCCTGTGACTTATTTATTTTATAAATGGAAGTTTGTACCCTTTAATCCTCTTCACCTTTTCTGCCCATCCGCCCCCACTCTTTAGCAAACAGCAAAAGATATACATTCTCTGTATCTGTGAGTCTGTTTCTGTTTTGTTTTATTTGTTCATTTGTTTTGTTATTTAGATTCTACATATAAGTGAAATCATACAGTATTCGCCCTTCTCTGTCTGACTTATTTCATGTAGAATAATACATTTTTACTGATGGGAAGTATTAGTAAATACACAAAACTAACACTTCTGAATGAACATTCCTTACTTACTGAATGTTTCTGGGCCAGTTTTTCTCATGGAGCCTTCTTGCATTCAGAAGACTCAAAATCACATTTGTGTAAAATTGTTATTAATTCTTCTTTAAATGTTTGATGAATTTTTCCAGTGAAGCCATGTGGGCCTGGGGTTTTCTTTGTCGGAGGTTTTTGTTTGTTTGTATATTTGTTTTTAAATAAAGCATAAGTTCAATTTTTAAAAATAGATGTGGGACTATTTGGGTTATCAATTTCTTCTTGGGTGATATTTGGTAATTTGTGCCTTTCAAATAATTTTTCATTTCATCTAAGTTATCAAATGTATTGACATAAAATTATTCATAATCTTCCCTTATTATTCATTTAATATCTACAAAATCTGTAGTGATGCATTCTCATTCATCCCAGATATTGGTAATTTGTACTTATCTCTTTTTTCTTTATTATTCTGGCAAGAGGTTTGTTAATTTTTTTATTTCACTGATTTTCTCTGTTGTTTTTCTGTTTTCAATTTTATTGATTTCTTTTTTCATTTATATTTTTTCTTCCTTCTGCTTGCTTTGGGTTTAATTTGCTAGTTTTTACAGATTCAAAACCTTCTTGTTTTTAATATAAGCATTTAATGCTAAATATTTCCCGAAGCACCACTTTAGCTTCATCCCACACATTTTAAAATGTTGTGTTTTCATTTTTATTCAATTCAGAAGATTTTCTAATTTCCCTTGTGACATGTTTTTGATCCCTGAGTTACTTCTAGTGTGTTGTTTAATTTCCAAATTGGGTATTTTCCAGATAACTTTCTGTTATTGATTTCTAATTTAATTCTGTTGTGATCAAAGAACATACTTTATATGATTCCAGTTCCTTTAAATGTGTTAAGATTTGTTTCATAGCTCAGAATATGGTCCACCTGGGAGAATGTTATATGTTCACTTGTAAAGAAGGTGGTCAAGAGGGTGTCCTGAGAAGTAATGGGGTCTAAAGTTCCTCACAGGGCAAGAGTCAAGCTCACCCCATGAATTAAGGCTGAAAAAACAACCCTGAAATTGCCCAATGCTCATTGTTGGGAATAGCTACATGAGAACCTAGGAAAGCTACAAACTTATAGCTGGGACCTGGACAAGATTCACAAACCAGACTCTGTACTAGAATGTGACATCCTCAACATCACCATAGTATATAAGTCCTAAACCGCCAATATAAGACCTGGTCCTGGACTAGAGGGTGGGAGTGATGATAACTGTAAGATCACTGGACAGGACACACAGAGTGCAGAGAGGAAAAGCTCCCACTAAGAATGAGCTTGCAGACACTGTAATAGACAAATAACAATAAGAAAGATAGCTAACAGAAGCAGCAGTCAAGAGATGAGTTCCCTTTAGATAAAATGAAAATCACAGGACAATCTGAACAAGAAATTTAAATACCAGAAACCAAACAAGAAGAGGTGGATATGAAAAGGTCCAATTAAAAATCATGGAAATGAAAAAAATATATACTCATTGAAGTAAAAGAATTCAATAGATGGGATAAAACCCTAAGCTAGACATAGGGAAAGACCATGCTTTACCCACTGTACTTTTTATCCAAGTGTTCTCCTAACATTTGACAGAATGATGGGCCTTAGTTTGCCCAGAGCAAAATTAAAATGGAACAATTTTCTTGCCATATCACACAAGCACTGCGAGAATTTAGTACAAAGTGTGAGAGGAAAGCTAACATTTTTAATGCTTGTGCATGTATGATGTTTCATAATACATTAGCCCAGTTTCCACCATAAACAACTTGACAGCTTCATGTTACAACCTGTAATATACTGATAAAGGAGATAAGGCTCAGTGAGCTTATCTACTAAATGGAGAACCTAGAGTTTGTACCTGAGCTGTGTCCTTTTACCCAACACTGGCTCTCGCATACAAATAGAGGTAATAGTATTTCTTTTTCTTACAAAATTTTTTAAAGATATTAACAAAATTTTTCCCCAAAATTGAAAATATTCGCTATCCTAGATATTATATGCAGCAGTGTCACCTTCTCAAAGTAATGAGGCAGTTTAATACTCCAGAAAGGACAGGGGACCTGGATTCTTGTCCTGAAGCAATACTGATTGGCTATACAGTCCTGGCATGGACAAGTCACCCAATTTCTTTGGGCTTCTGTTTTCTCATTTGTAGTAGGAGGGTATTCAATTAAGTGAGCTCTGAGTTCTCTTACTGCTCTAACATTCTTTGAATCTAATGATTCCTCCAATAAAGTAGCCATAGGCACTGATTTTAGTATCATAAGGTTAAATATAGGTTAAAAACAACTGAATTCATTATAGAATCTGGAAATTAATACATTAGGTAAGTGGTATCACTCTCATTTCTATAAGGTTAGGTCATTCATTCAAGTAAAGTATCTCTTGTCTTTTCACGTTTTTAAATGTTGCTATTTTTATTGTAGATCCATATCACAATTTATATTAGAAAATAGATTCTTCATGTAGCCTATTTTGAAGAACCATGTTTTTTCTTGTGGAACCAGCAGCATTGGTCTTGCTAAATGAATCTTTTCATATTATCAACCCAGGTTTACCAAGTTGATAGGATTTATTCCAAATTTCTACTCTCAAGTGAAATTAACTTTGTATTTGACTTTCAGAACCAGCTGCTCAACTACCGTTCTGCCATTTCAAATCAGGGCTCAAAAATGGATGGCCTAGAAAAAGAACTGAGCAATTTGAATCGTGAATTTGACACTTTGCAAGAAAAGGTAATGTGTTAGGTCAATAGCATTAACTTTTTGTTTGTACTTTCAAAATATTATTAATCCCCCCCCCCATTAACTTCAATTTGTTGCCAATACATTTATTTTTCCTATAGGTTCAAATAAATTCCAGGAAAGCACAAACATTATATAACAACGTTGATCGGACAACCCAAAGCGCAAAAGAGCTGGATGCAAAGATTAAAAACGTCATTCGAAATGTGCACAGTAAGAAGAGTTACTCTATCCAACTAACTTTTTATGTTACATAGCCCTTTTCTGCACGCTGAAAGAATTTTCCTTTAAGAGTTCAACATTATGAAGATCCTGCAGTCAGAGGAACCCTCCCATAAAAACATCTGCCTGTTTTTAAGTAGCCTGCGGGAGGCCAGCATTCCCAGTCTAATAAGCCGCTCTTGTTTTCCAGTTCTTCTGAGGCAGATCTCCGGGGCGGACGGAGGAGGGAGCAGCTTGCCACCCGGGGAGTTTGCCAGGAAGCTGGCCGAGGCCGAGCGCATGCTGAAGGAGCTGCGGAGCCGCGACTTTGCAAGGAACCTGAGAGAAGCAGAAGCTGAAAAAAGAGAGGCTCAGCTCTGTAAGGATGTCCCCAAACTCTTGCATCCGTCCATTCTCATCGGTCTGAAATACAGTGTGCAAAGTACAATATCGAGTCCCTAGTTACAGGTGGAGGGTGTCTTCATTTCAGTGGATATTACTGTTAGAGCATCGTGTGGTGAAAACGGGTTGCCCATCCAAGTTACTAACATCTTACCATCAGGCAAAAAAAGGGAGGTGTCTTCTCCTAAGATATTAGATACTGACACCTCTCTTCCATTTTTACTGCATTTTCATTATTCTTTAATTCAGCTCCTCCCATCTTTGTCATTATATCACTTTTGAATGGTCACCTCATCACCATTGGGTTTGAATTACAAATTGATATTAGCACTATTATTGCAAAAACAAAAAATGGATATAGTAGGAGTGAACGGAATAGATCTAAAGTTTCGATTAGGGAAAAATGCCTCATCAGCTAAAAACTGAGAAATACTAGTTTTTCTAGTAAAATTTTCTGTAGTAAAATAATGTTATCAATGGCTAATTTATAACTGCTACAGATAGGAGCAGTTTTCTTTTAGAGTTTGTATTGTTCAAATTTAAAATTAGCCTTGGCTTTTAACTGCAAGGAGACAGAAATCGTGGTAGAGTGCATGTGCCGTATACTCCGCAGATCTAATTCAAATCCCTGGGCTGACTGGTCGTGCAGTCTTGGGTCATCACCTAATTTCTGCATCTCTGTTTCCTTATATGAAACATGAGAATGTTACTGTTTTCACGCGGTTATCATAAAAGTTAAATGAGGCAGTGGGTTCAATGCACAGAGCAGGTGCTGCATGAATGTTAGTTTCCTTTCCTATTCCCTCGAAAATTCAAGGAAAACCATGAAATGATTAGAAACGTAAGTCTCCTTCTGTAGTCTTTTTAACTTAGATGCAACGTACTCATCTCATAAGTAGAAAACATAAAGTGATGTATTACAGTGCTGAATCGGATAAGGAGCTGGATGGAAAACCACCAGGTGCAGAGCAATGGACTTGTTAAGAACATGCGGGATTCTTTAAATGACTATGAAGCCAAACTCGCTGACCTCCGTACTGCGCTGCAGGAGGCAACAGCCCAGGCAAATAAGGCCACTGGCCTCAACCAAGACAACGAGAGGACTTTGGAATCCATCAAGGTGAGTTCAAAGTCAGAGTCTGCACACTTTCACTAATGACAAGGATGAGGGAGATGGATCTTTACTGTTGATTAAATGGCATAGCCAGGGGCCCATCTGCATATCTAGTCTTATGCACCTCTCTCTATGGTGAACCTTCTAATCAAACAGGAATGAGGCAGTAAATGCAAAACCAAAGTTATCCCTACTCCTCAGTTGCCAGAAAAGATTCTGAACTTAAACCACTGAGAAAGCAGAGCAAATCCCTCTCTTCCCCACCCCCCTGGCTGACAGAGTACTATAGGAAAAATGTTACCAAGTAGATGAGAAGTTAAACTAATATCGTTATTAATTCAAAGTATATAATATGTTTTAAATAACTTTTTGGGTCAGATGCATAAACATCATCATAATCACCAGCAAGGGCATTTTAAGCCATCACCTGCTTTTTTTTAAGGGAATAAATTAAATATAGGCCTCATGCAGGAGCTGCAGTGACAGAATTGAGAGCTCAAGATTCTATGGTATATATTTTCAGTGGTGAACATTGTATGCTAACCAACAACAAAATTGTGAGAGGTTATGAAATGACAGTAAGATCTAAGTGGAATAACATAGGACTGACTCCCAAAAAGAACATGGTGAAAGACAATAAAGAATATCTTAGCAGGTGGCAATATGCTTTATTCCCAAAACCTATTCCAACAGTAACACCTCTGTTGAAGTCCTGATTATGCCCAGCCAAGGGAGCAGGATACAACTTTCTGGGTCCTGCACCTTGGCAGCCTCCTGGCCTGACCTTCTCAGGTCCTATGTGCTCTCTCATTGAAGTCCACCTGCATCCCCATGGGGACTGGCACAGTGATGTGTTGATGGTTGGGGCTGGTTTATGTAGTTAAAAATCCCTCCTTCTCCTCCACCAACCAGAGCTTACGTGTATGCCGTCCATGCCCGAGATGACACCAGCATAGACACCTCCTTCGACAGGGATAACGACTGTTTCATGGGCATGGAGTTTGAGGAAACTGTGACAGTGCACCCACACTGCAAAAAGAGCGGATTTCCCCTCACTTTGCAATTGCCTAGATGATCTTTAAGTTCAAGAAAACATTCTGACTCTTGAAATTACTTCTAGGCTCTTCCCCAATAAATATGCCTGTGCCTGCTAATGATATATTCTGCAGCTCACGCAGATATTCTTTTTATTCTCTCCAGAGGCAAGTTAAAGAAATGAATTCCTTGCAGAGTGATTTCACCAAGTCTCTAGCCACTGCAGACTCTTCCTTATTGCAAACCAACGTTTTGCTGCAGCTGATGGAGAAAAGCCAGCAGGTAGAGACAAAACTTGTTCTCGAGAAAAATCTAAAAATACTTAAATTATATTGCAGGGAAACTATGAGATGAACTGATCTACTTTTTTTCCTCCAGTATATGTCTTTTACTTGGAAGGAAATATACCAAAATGCCAACCGGAGGAGCGGTGTGAATGATGTGGCTTCTTTGTGTTTTTGTATTGCCTAATTTGCCTGCAATGAGCAAATGTTACTTTCATAATTTAAAAAATTGAAATGCTGTTTTTAAAATATCAAGCATACCTTTATTAGCAGAAAACATTTAGGACTGATAAAAGATTGACATTTCTTAGCCCAATGGGCATTTTGAAAGTATCTTTTATGATCGCTATTTCCAAATCAGAAAAAAAAGTGTTTTGGCCTAGTACAAATTTACACTAATGATAACAGCATGCTGTTATAAAACTTATCAAAGGGCGTCCCTGCCATAAGGAAAATGTTCGAATGGTGGTTAAACTTGGGAGAATGTTATGAACACCACTATCTGAAGTCATCAAAGATTAATTGGTGTAGTAAATGGGCTTAGAAAACAAATTCCTTCTTGTTGCTTCCTGGAAACGTGTCATTTAGGACAGAGTTCAAGAAAATGGCATATACATTCTTTGCTTAAATTGACACTGTCTCTGTTTACTTGGAAAAAAACAGGACTATAAAAAATTAGCTGCCACTGTGAATGAAGTAAGACATGAACTAAGTGACAAAGTGAGAGAACTTTCCAAATCCGCCAGCAAAGCATTGCTGGTGGCGCAGGCAGAGAAGCACGCGCAGTCCTTACAGGAGCTGGCAAAGCAGCTGGAGGAGTGAGTGTGGGCCCTGGAGGTTTCACCATGCCCCTGCTGAGGCCTGGTGTGGAAGCCCCCCCTGGGCGGGCTGGGTCTCCGGAACAGGGTGGAGGGTGGACCCAGGGCATAAGTCCAACCCGATCTACAATAGGGGACTGATTCCCAGTTGCACTTGGGCAGAGCTGCAGGACCCACTGCCTAGGTCTCCACCCGTCAAATGAATTGGGGCCAGCGGCAGGCAGGGGGCCTGCTGGAGCACTTCCCCCATCTGTCTTCCAGGATCAAGAGGAACGCCAGTGCGGATGAGCTGGTGCGTCGTGCTGTGGACGCGGCCACTGCCTATGAGAACATCCTCAACGCCATCAAAGCGGCGGAGGATGCCGCCGACAAGGCCACTAGTGCCTCCGAGTCTGCCCTCCAGGTGGGCACCTGCACTGGCACCTTCTCTAGATGCACTCTGGAGATGTCTCTCTTATTTTCTTTCTCTGTGAACCAAGGGATGGATGGACACACACACACATGCATATATACAGTTAGCATTACTTTAAATCAGAACTTGTTATATAGAATAGCCTTGAACTTGCTCCAGATATGGGTCGTTATTTATATGACTAATGTGTAGTACAACCAATGTCACCCCAAAACATTTAATTTTTAAAATAACTTTGTAAAACCAGATAGGAATTACACTAATTATCAATTTTGAACCAAGATAAATATTATATCCTGCTTCTTTTCTGGTATGCTTTTAGGCTGTGATTAAGTATTAACATTTACCAAAAAAGAGAGAGATTTTTGTGTACAGTTTGAGAACCATTTATTTCCTTTGTCTTACACCTAGGCACGTCTGTGGAGTCCTATGGGATCTGATATGTACCATATAATATTCTTATATTTAAAAATAAAGAACAAAATATTAAATATCAAAGAATTAGGGGAAAGGCCTTATTGGAAGGTTGAAGACTTTTATCTCCCAAAGACTAAAAACCTAAAAGCAACTCCATTCTGTCTTCAGTTATTTCAGAGAGTACTATACAAGTGATAGTGAGAAAATGAGACAGGTGTCATATAATTCATCAATATGTCACCAGAGATGGGTCCACTTCCCCAAGCCACAAATGTCCACCTAGACCCCTAAATCTATCTTTTAAGGAACAGTCTTTTTAAACCTCTTCTTCAAACTTCATTCTTTAAAGATTAAAGATAAAGGCTTTGGGGTAGGATAAGAAAAAGAATCTTATTTCATGTTTCCTAAGCTGCACCACATGCTTAAAGCTGCTTAATGTTTTGCTTTCAGACAATGACAAAGGAAGATGTTCCAACAAAAGCTAAAACCCTGAGTTCCGACAGTGATAAACTGTTAAATGAAGCCAAGATAACACAGAAGAAGCTACAACAAGGTATTGGGGGGAGGGGGTGGTCAGGTTATAATCAGGGACTTGAAAACAACCTATAGGACCAGGAGAGGCAGCCCTAGAAAAAAATGCTCTTCCTGAATCTCAGCATTGATGCACATTTGTAAATCCATGGTTTATTTTATAAATTTGATGTTTCTACCCAATATTTTAACATATACTAACTTAACTAGAACCTCATGAATATAATAAATCTTGAGGGTGACAAGCCTGTTTTGGCCAGGCCTTTATGGGGCTATTTAATTTAATCTACTTGTGACCGTGGCATTGGGAACCCACATAGCATAGAGGTAAGTACAGTACTGGTTTCTTATTTAAGGTCTAGACCATTAATTTCAGGTCATTAGAGTAACTGCTTCAAATTTTCTTAAGTCCTGAAATCTTAGTAATTAAAAGTACCAAAAACTAGTACCACTGTGAAACATGAGGATTTTTTAATTATAAATTTTATCATTGAAAAAGTTCCACTTATTTAATTTTTAAAAAAAGAATTAATCCACCTCAATCTCACCAAGTTCCTGTGTCTGAAAATGTGGTCCTTTGATATTCTCCGGTCCCTCGTGGTCACTCACAGCTGGGCAGCCATCTGAACGCCCACAGCCCTCACTCAGCTTCTTAGTCGCTTCAAAGGGATTAGATGGCTTCTACTACTAACTTACCTTTCTTCTTTCTCTCATTCATCTATAAAAATTAAATATATGAAAAATAAAATACAAAATATTAACATAAAATGATTTGCCTAGCAAATTTCAAGAATTAAAATTTCCTTGTATGATCTCTGCTCTCTATAAAATTTGAGGTAAGAAGTGAGGATCAGTGTTTTAAATAGGTTTAGGACGCTAACCACATGGTTACTTTTTCCTTTTATTTTCTTTTGTTTCTAAATATATGACCCCCTTCATCCATTTCTCCCACCACTACCTCTGGCAACCACCAGTTTATTCTCTGTATCTAAGAGCTTTTTGTTGTTCTTTTTATTTTTATTTATTTATTTATTTATTTATTTATTTATTTATTTATTTATTTTATTTTTTAAATATATCTTTATTGATTCAGAGAGAGGACAGGAGAGGGAGAGAGAGATAGAAACATCAATGATGAGAGAGTCATTGATCGAGCCCGCAACCCGGGCATGTGCCCCGACCGGGAATTGAACCCCGATCGCCTGGATCCTAGGTCGACGCTCAACCGCTGAGCTATGCCCGGCCAGGCTGTTGTTTTTAGATCTTATGTATAAGAGAAATCATATGGGTTTTGTCAACATTGTTATTTAAACCAGTCCTAGAATCATAATTTAAGCCATCTATCATCAGTTTGGTCTTGTAGCATTCACTGGTCATTTTCCATGACCCCAAAGTGGCAATATTATCAACTAGGACTGTGAGCTCTGCTCCTTTCACTGAATTCCCTTAAGTGTATCAGTTTGGAAATGAACAGAAACAAGCAATGCCTAAGTGTGTGTGTGTGTGTGTGTGTTTGCTTGGATAAGGCTCTGATAACAACATTCCTTTCTTATACTCTGAAACTGAAGAGGCACCTTTCTGCATTATTCATTCATTTGTTCATCTGGTCATACAGTCATTCATTCATTCTATAAATATGTATTAATATTAAGCCCTGACTAGTGCCAGACATAACACTTTGTCATGGGACACAGCAGCGAACAAGACAAACACATTCTTTCCCTTCATTAAAGAGAGACTTCTGTCCTGAGCAGAGTAGAAGTTAAATTCTCCCCTAGGTTATTAAGCCTCTCCCTTTCTTCATGCGTATTTCCCAGGAGCTCGGGCCACGGGCTTTCATATGCTCCTGATCTCCATAACCAGAGGACCCTGAAGCTGTGGGTCTAGACACAAGCAGTGGGCACCTCTGGGATGACCCCTTAAATGCAGGTCTGCTCAAAGCTGTGCAGACACTAGCTACTTAAGGGCGACTAATACCAATGCGGGATAAAAATGCACAGAGTAATTGCCTCTTAATGCTTTATTTTATTTTAGAAATCAGTCCAGCTCTGAACAACCTACAGCAAACTCTGGAAATTATGGCAGTTCAGAAAGGGATGATAGACGCCAATATTACTACCATCCGTGATGATCTTCGTGGGATAGAGAGAGGTCAGCATCTCCTGAACCCACCAAGCCTGGCTTCTTTTGTTGAACAGTTTAGATACTTACATTTCCCTATTTGTGTGTGTATCAGATGACATCGATGGTATGATCAGTAGTGCAAAGAGCATGGTCAGAAATGCCAATGATATCACAGATGAGGTTCTGGATGGGCTCAACCCCATTCAGACAGATGTGGAAAGAATTAAGGATACCTATGGGAGCACACACAGCGAAGACTTCAACAAGGCTCTGACTGACGCGGATAACTCAGGTATCAGGCATTCTTGGCCAGGAAAGGTTATCCATTTTCTCCATTGTTATGTGCTTTGATCAATTTAAATTCTTCCCTGGTAAAGTATGATCTTAGAAATTAAAACATTAGAAAACAGTTTCACATAACACATTCAAAGAGTGTGGGTATTCTATTAGTTAGAAAGACCAGGCAGGATCCATTAATATTGCTATTGATTTTCCCTTTTATAGAGTAGAGGTATAGGTCCCTGAATCATGAGGTATTAAATTATGATTGATATTAAGGATTAGAAAACAAAGGTATTTTTTCCTATAGTGGTCAAGAAAGGTGACTTGACCTCTAGATTGCAGAATAAAATCTCTTACATATTTAGAAAAGGTTTTACCTGATTCCAAGTCATCCTGTTCAACATTTGAGACCCAAACATACTATTTGACAAATACTGTCAACAAGGACATCTGTATTTAACCTTTCTCAACTTATATTTCTAAATTTCTGTTTTGTTACCTCACCAATAGTAAGAAAATTAACCAACAAACTGCCTGATCTTTTGAGCAAGATTGAAAGTATCAACCAACAGCTGTTGCCACTGGGCAACATCTCTGATAATGTGGACCACATTCGAGAGCTAATTCAGCAGGCCAGAGATGCTGCAAATAAGGTAGGTGTGCCCTGCATTGCCAGGCACCTAAGCTCCTTCTTTGATAAGTTACCACATTCATCAGGAAAGGAAGGGCATTTATTTACTCAAGAACCTGTTGTTTTTCTTGCCCTAATTCTTTGGTTGCTTGAAATGTGAAAGTTGATTTCCCCCTGTCGTCCTTCAAATGTGCACAACAATCTCATCCCCATGATCTGGCATGTCAGGGACCGGAAGCCGTTTCCTCCCCACTGAGTTTATGCAGACAGTGAGAAGGGTTTTCCTCCAGGCAGCAGCTAGTAAACTACAAGTTCAAGTAAGGATTCTGTAATCAGAATAGGCTGATATGATGCTGCACAGGACCTACTTTCTTGCTGTAACTTGAAAGTTGTAGAATCCACTTTTATTGAGGATGCAGGAATAGTTCCTACCAGCATCACCAGTGTTCCGAACATGGGATTATAGCAATTTTCCATCACAGGAGCACTGATCCATCAGCCTTTCTCATTTTAACCTGACATTAACATTATTTACTCGAATTCCTGACACGTCTCTCCCACAATTTGTTTTGTCCTCACAAAATATTAATGAAATATCATTTATTTTTCAGCCACCCCCCATGAGAGATTTGGAGATAGAGGGTTGGAAAACCAAGTCATAATATCACTGCCCTGGAGGCACTGTCATTTATCTCTAGGCTCCATATTACGTTTTGTTAGCCTCAAATTCTGCCCCTTTTTTTAGGAAAGAGAAGTAAGTACTGTCAACATAAAACCTTTTCTTCGGCAAGAAAACAAAGAGCATAGGCACAGTTAGCTTTTGCTCTTCTATATTCATTCACTAACTTAGTCAACAAAATTTGACGTGTATGAAAAGCACAGTGGTCAAGAGTCAGTGAGCCAAGCCAGGAAATATTACCCATTTTCTCCACTGTTATGTGCTTTGGTCAAACCAAGCCAGACTGCCTTGGTTTTGATCCTAGTTCCATCACTTATGAGCTCCGAGGCCTTAGGCCAGCCACTTCACCTCGCTGTGCCTCAGTAGCTTCATCTGTAAGCAGAATAAATAATAATACAGGCCTCATGAGAGTGTTAGGATTAAATGAGCTAATGTAAAACAGCTCCTGGCTAATAGTACTATGTAAGTGGATAATAAAAAATAATCAGCAAGTGCTTTTGAACACCTGGCTTGCATGGCACTCTCCTGAGGACCCAGGTTGCTCTCCAGCTGCTGCAAGTGGCATTTGGTGAAAAGACTACACTAAGAGGCTGGATAAAGGTGTGTTGCTGGGTTTTGGAAATACCAATTTCTACCTAGAGAGGCTAAGAATAGTACGAAAGGACGCATATAAGAATGTTCAATGCAACACAGCGTATAATCACACAAAAATCATTGGGAAAAACCCAAATGTCCATCAATAGGACATGGATAAAATTGTGATAAATTTATACAATGAAAGACCATACAACAGTAAACATGAGCGAGCTGGAGCCAAGTGTATCAACACGGATAAATCTAAAAACAGTGAATGAGTTTCATGAGTTTTTAATCCCGGTCTAGGAGACACGCACACTCCTGTGTTCCTTATCCTGACAGCTTGACAAAGGCTCATGCATGTTTGAAAGGAGTAGCCGCTCTGAACACACCCACTTTCCTCCTGGTGCACGGTTAACACCATAGATCTTACTCCTTCGCAGGTTGCTATCCCCATGAGATTCAATGGAAAATCTGGAGTAGAAGTCCGACTGCCAAATGACCTGGAAGATTTGAAAGGATACACATCTCTTTCTTTATTTCTCCAAAGACCTGAGTCAGGAGAAGATGGAGGGACTGAGAATATGTTTGTGATGTACCTCGGAAATAAAGATGTAAGTATTGCTTTGATACTTCTCTTGTTTTTAAAAGAATATGGTTTTGAGATGTGAGACACCCGTGTGTCACTGCCATGGACACAGCAGGAGGAAATCCCACCAACGTGTCAACAAACTCCACTACCTCTGATGGTGCCACAAGGAGCTTTCTGTCAATCATGGATTATTATCTGCTGGCAGATCTAGAGGCCTTACCAGAGGCGCCCAACACATGGGCACACGTGTACACATGTGTGTGCCTATGAGCAAATATACACCTGGGGTTAAAGATCAGCCCCTTTCACCACGTGACCAGGGCAGCAATATCAAGGCTTCGTGGGAATCAACAGTTCTCCCTCACAGAATTGTGACCCTGTTCTCTTGCTCAGAACGTCCAGCCCTAGCCCTTTCTCAAGTCGGTGGGGTGACAACCATCTGTGGATGGAGACCGGAGCAAATGAAGCCTCTCCTACCTAATTAATCAGAAATCCAGTTGCCCCATCTCTACAATTCTAAATTCTTTAAACTGCTACTGTTTCAGGCATTTTGAAGAGTTTATTTTAACACTTAATCCCCCCACTTAAAATACATTTCTTCAACCTAATTGTCAGGAAAAACTAATTACTGATTGGGTTAGGATACAATTTTTAGAAAAGAAATATCTGAAAATTCTGTCAGTTAAATGGTTGGCTGCCATTAGTGGACACTGTATTTAAAGATTCCTAAAATCAACACAGTTATTAATCACTCTTTCTGCTTCGAGGGGTTGGTACTTCATTTGTAGCTTTCTTATGACATGACTTTTTGCTTTGTATGTGACAAAATACACATTACTTTATTCCTTCAATAAATTTATACCATATACCTACTAGGTGCAGCACCCTGTATTTATGATAAACAAAAATTTGTTTCATGAGTGTACTTAATGTACACTAAAAACTGGTTGAAATGGTATATTTTACCATAATTTTTTTTAATCCTCACCTGAGAATATGCTTCGTCATTGATTTTAGAGAGAGGAAGAGAGAGAAACATTGATGTGAGAGAGGAAAACCTATCAATTGCCTCGATTGGTTGCCTCTCGAATGCGCCCTGACTGGGATCAAACCTACCACCTTTTGGTGCCCTGGACGACGCTCCAACCAACTGAGCCACATCAGCCAGGGGTATTATACCATCATTTACCAAAAATTTGTATCTACCTTAAAGTGCTCATATTCTAACAGGGGGAAAAGATACATATGTAGCCGTGATAATACAGGGTGCTAGGTGTTGTAACAGAGGCATGTACACAGTATTGAGGGAATGTTGTATGGTACAGGGAGAAAAAATGGCTTATTTCCCTTACCAGACTAAAATCTAATGGAGACCCGAGTCCATATCTGGTTCATCTTTATGGCAGGTGCTTGGCAAATATTTGTAGAATAAATGAGTGCACTATATACCACGAGCAAAGACAGCTCAGGCATTATTAATGTTAAGTGTTCTGTGTATATTATTCTGAACAAGGATACACCTCATTTATTCTGCCTGCCCAAGGCTTATTGTATAAAACTCACTTGTTATTTGAAATGCACTCTCTTGGAATGAGAAGTTGAGAGAATACATATGTCAAGGGCTCTGAGGTAGACTTTATCCCGCCAGGCCTCCAGGGACTACATCGGCATGGCAGTCATAGATGGCCAGCTCACATGTGTCTACAACCTGGGAGACCAGGAGGCGGAACTTCAAGTGGACCAGATCTTGACCAAGAGTGAAACTCAGGATGCAGTTATGGACCGGGTGAAATTTCAGAGGTACAAGTCTGATAGACTGCTGCTCTTTGCTAACCTGACTTACACTTGCTGAACTTCAATTGCACATGTTGATGAACCCCATTTTTAGAATCTTAGCTTTGATTTTTTTCATTTTTGCATAAATGTTTATATAAATCTACTATCTAATTTATTTTTAAACAGAATCTATCAGTTTGCCAGGCTTAATTACACCAGAAAAGCCACATCCAGTAAACCAGAAACAGCTCAATTCTATGACACGGACAATGGAAATAGCAACACACTCCTCGATTTGGATCCTGAAAATGTTGTATTTTATGTTGGAGGCTACCCACCTGATTTCAGAGTAAGTGCAAATTTTATTTCACTGAGTGACAATATTTACATTTTTATTTGTTATGATGGCCTCTTGTCTCTACTGATCAATTGTATATAAGATGGATTTAACTATGTATTCTTAAAGCTTATTTAGGGGTAATAGCTAATACTTAAGTACTTCCTTGTGCAGTGATAATATGCTAAGCATATGAGTTTAAAAAGCATCGTTATCATTCCCACTTCACAGATGAGGAAACTGAGACAAAGAGGTTGAATAACTTGCCCAAGGTCATACAGCTGGTAAATAGTAAAGCCGGGGCATTTGGTTCCAGGGTCCACATTCTTTTCTTTCTTTCTTTTTTTATCTTTATTGTTGAAAGGGTTGCAGATATCCCCTTTTTTCCCCATTGACCCCTTCTACCCTGCACCCATCCCCCACCCCAGGCCTTCACAGCGTCCACATTCTTAACCCCTATGGCTATGTCTATGGTAAAAAGTAACAAAGTCATACTATTTCTTGGCCAATGTGATCATTGTCCTTTGTTCAATTAGTAGATTTTTTTGTTTCATTTTTTTCAGCTTCCTAGAAAACTTAGATTCCCTCCATACAAAGGTTGTATTGAATTAGATGACCTCAATGAAAATGTTCTGAGCTTGTACAACTTCAAAGAAACTTTCAATCTTAATACAACTCAAGTGGAGCCTTGTAGAAGGTAAACAAAGCCTAGACACTGTGTCTCTATGACTGTGATTTGTATAGCTTGCAGGTCTGTTACATTACAAAGGATGGGCATTGACTTGCTGTTGATGTCACTGGTTGCTTTGGGCCAGTAGTTCCTAAATTATGCTTGCACGCAACAGTGCTATTCCATCCCTAAAATCTAATGGTAGTCTTTTCTTCATTTGTAGAATATGTTAAATTGATAGAGTTTTCTCAATTTAAAAATAATAATTTTTTCTTAAATTTTTGGTGCCTCCTACCACAAAATGTTGAATGTGGGATTGGTACCTGATTTAGGCACAAAAGTATGTATTTACTGTAATTTTTTTTTCAATGGTCCACATAGTACACTGTAACTTTCTAGGTACTCTGACACCTGGACCTAATGAAAATTGCTGCCTTGAGCTCCTGACCTTCCCTCTAGTTAAAAGGATTTGGAACATTCTAATATGGAACAGACTGCATATTTATTACTCAGAATAAAATTATTACATTTCAAGTTCATAATTTTGTTTATGTTTAAACTCTTCAGATGCTAGTCTACATCTTCCTAAGTAGATATTTCCAAAAGGTACTCTTGAATATTGTCTTTATTGAATGAGGTTTTAATTATTATAAGAGCACATCCAGGAGAAGTAGCTGGCTGTTTTAACATTTTAAAGATGTTTCCTCCTCTTTAAAAAATTGTGGCAACAAGATTGCATATGCTTTGCTCCATTTTTCAGATAGCAGCATCTCATATTAATAAACAAACTTGTGTAGTAGTCCTGTGCTGCTTTGTTCTAACCTATGATGATTAATGTTGACAGGAGAAAGGAAGAGTCAGACAAAAATTATTTTGAAGGTACGGGCTATGCTCGAGTTCCAACTCAAACTTCAACTATAACTGCTTCAGTCAAAACCTTTGGGCAGTCAATTCAGACCACTGTGGATAAAGGTTTGCTGTTCTTTGCAGAAAACCAGGTAATTTATATCAAGCATCTAAATACTAACAAATATGCCCATTCAATTGAGCAATTTGAGGGTAACTGGGTTATTTTTAACACCCAAGTAGATCTGAAATACAATGTGTAAATGTTATATGCATCCTTTCCCTTGGCCCAGTTCTTCTTTCTTTGGTTGTGGGAATATGTGTCTTAATAAGGCAAATAATCAGGAATTTGAGAACTTGCTACCAAAATGTGGAAGAAATCACCCCTTTTCCCATTCGATTCTCATTGTCAATTTCATTCTCTGAGAACTACTGTTTGCCTAATAATTTACTTATTCTGCATAAAAAATGTGAAGACCTCCTGGGGTTTCTGAGAGCTCGACTGTTTGACCTTTGGATGTTTGCATCTTGGTCCAACTCTTGCCAGGCTGTGTGAGATTGTCTTTATCAACCTGACCCTTGACTATCCAAGACATGAAAGCTTCTCTGCTGTCAAGCAGCTGACTTTCTTAGAGGCCATTCTTTAGTCTCCTAGTTTAGAAAAGTCCAGTGATGCTCTACAGGTGATCACTAGCGCCATCTGCTGGTAAATGGTCTGGGAATTGTCTGCTCCTCTAAATAGACCTTCTGTAGTTTGCTCCATTAGGTAGCATTTCTGGAGAAACGGGAATCTCCGTTGTAAGAATGTGGGATTCACAAGGCACTTGAGATTTTACCAGACCCTTCTATCTGAAGGGTGGGGACACAGACCTGGTCCAACTCTTCTCTCTCGGGTTGGTCTGGACCCTCCAGCAGCTTCCAAGGCTCAACCAGTTCTGATGGTTTGGGAAGGTCCTGACCTACCTGAAGATTGCAGAGAACTGAGATGTCACACAGCATCTTCAGGGCAAGGTGGCTGTTTTCCAAAGCAAGGTGTTCTTTGTACTACATTTTGAAGTTCTTTGAGACTAAGAACCAGAAATACTACTTATATAAAATGCCATTAGCAACTAGATAAGAGAAAATGATCTAAAGGGCTACTGTTAAGTAGGCTGGCTCATAACTGTCGGTGAGTTAATGTTATTCTGTTATTTATGAGTGTGAGGAACCCTAACTGGCTTCCTAGGGCAAGGTTTACGATCCAGGTAAGGACTGATTTTTCTATTAGATAAGCACTCTGGCAGTAGACTTCAAAGAGAGGCCCTCTTATCAATAGGGAACTTTGCGAGAGCCAACCTTCAAGCCCTGCAGGAGAAATTCCTCAGCTTATCTTTCCTCTAAGGAAATGGCTGGTTTAAATATGTGCCTTACACCATGAGGCGGATGCACAACAGACCAAGACCAACATGATTCCTGCCCTCAAGGACCTTGTGTGCTAGATGGGAAGACAAATATTAAAGTTACACTCGTTAGCTGGTTAATTACATCATCACAATGGTGACGAGCAATATAGAGGGAGAGTTTGAGGTGAAATGAGGATGTGTAACAGAATAGACTTTCTTGAACAAAGGATGCTTAATCTGAGACTTGGAGGACAAGTAGAGACATCATATAAAGAGGAAAAGGGTGATCCATGTGGGGAGAGGGGCTGGAAGAAGGCCCAGACATGGGAAAGGCAGGGAGCACTGGGGAGTGGAATGGTGGCCCATGTGGCTGGGACACAAAGAGCCGGAGGGACCACAGAGAAATAAACCTAAAGAGGTGGTCAGGGCCTCAGAGCACCTGATAGGGAGTTAGGGCTTTATTCCGAGAGCAAAGGAGAATAGTGTGCTCACGCTGGCATTTTCAAAAACCTCTTTGGCTGCAGGGTGGAAAGTGGATTTGAGAAGGCACAGAGCGGACATGGGGGGACAGTGTGTTATTGCTGTGCAGTCCAGCTGAAGGAGTTGTGGCTGAGACCAGATGGCATGAAATGGAGAGAGTTAAGAAAGGGCAGAACTGCTAAGATTTGTTTGGATGGGAGAGAGGGGGAAGAGTCAAGAATGACTCCCAGTGGGTCTGTGGCCCCATCAGTGAGTATCAGTAGTGAGAGAGAGAAAGAAGGGAGAGAGCGTGAAGGGCAAGACACGGGCTTGGCAGCAGGTGGGAGGCATGTAGATCATAAGCTCTGTTAGAGATATTCTGAATTTGAACATCTATGAGTCATGCCAGCAATAACAGTCAGGTAACCAGATGCACAGACCTGGTACTGTAAAGACAGGTCTAGGCTGGAGAAAAACATTTGGGCTTCACGGGCACACCTGAATTAAAGCCACGGGAGTGTCTGTGATTGTGAGGCAGAGAGTGGTGGGAGGAAGAGGTCCTGTGCAGGATCCCCAAAGAACCCCCAACACTTGCATGGAAGATTAGAAGGGGGATGAGCCAGCAAAGGAGACCGAGACATAGTAATAAGTCAGAAAACAGATGGTAGAAAATGCCTGGGGCTTAAGTAAGACCATACCTCTTTCCAAAAGGTAGCATTCATGTTGTCACATGATATTAATGATCTGTATCTTTTCAGTTTCCATTTTTACATGCTGGTTATAGATCACTATGACACAAAATCATAATAGGTAGCATTTATTGTGTCCTTCCTGTGTGCAACCACCATATATGATGTTTGGCAAGACTTACAACGTTTAACTGTCACACCCGTCCCAGGAGTTGGACCTTGCAGCACTATTGTCCCTTTTAACTAAGGAGGCAGCTGGAGCTGAGAGCAGCCTGTAACTTGAGCACCAGTGCTCAGGTCTTCCTCCGTTGTATCTCCTGGTAATCTGCATTGTTTCCTTGCTCTAGGATCAATTCATCTCTCTAAATATAGAAGATGACAGTCTCCTGGTGCTATACAAACTGAATTCAGAGCCACCAAAAGAAAAAAGAATTAAAGAGCCCATAAGCAATGGGAAAGATCATTCGGTATGTCCTCAGTCTGTTTACTTGAATTGTTAAATATCCTTAGTCCTTTAAAATTAAGTCAGTGCCCCAAGCACTTTTCTTTTACCACATGAGCTTATTAACTGAGGGACATGTCTTTGAGGGACATGTCTTTGTAAAATTTGAACATTTGGGTATAAAATATATAACGTGTATGTGGCATATATAAAACATGATTCATTTCAAATGCAAACATTTCTATTAAAATGTTTTAATATTATATTTTATGTAAAAGTGCTAATGTCAGAGTCTTCCTAACATGTATATAAATGAATCTGAAGGAAGACAAAAAACATAATAGCTCTGAGGCACTATGAATAGAATTTTTTTTCTCATTGCTCATTAAATCTCCTCTCATTTATTTCAGATTCTGATCAGAATTCCAAAAGCCATGAAAAGTATGTACATAAGTGTGGATAGTCGCTCCAGTATGATTGATGGTGAAATATTTGATTTCAACACATATTATCTGGGAGGAATTCCACTTTCAATCAGGGAAAGGTAAGATTTTTTTTTTTTTTTTTAAGGAAGCAGACAGCTACTGATTAGTTTGCCTTTTTTAATTCTAGCAATGAACAAACACAGAAAGTTAGCTTTTCAGTATTAACAGTGTTAGGCAACAGAGTAAAACAGGCTATAAATACTGGATAACGGGACTGGCCATTTGAAAGGGGGAGAGAGGGGAACTGTGTGCCACCCCCATTGTCATTCTTGGGAGAGAGAAGCCACAGGAATATAGATGGTGTTGACAATGCTGCCGATTAGAGTGGAGGCTGTGGCCCTGGAGTCCTTCAAGGTAGTGTGCCAAGCAGGCCTGGGCACGGAAAGCTGGGGTTGCTGCCTTTGGGAAGGATCTCTAGAATGTAAGGCACACCTGTGTTATCTGCCCCCTTGTATGTTATTGAGCATAGACTAGGTATAGACCGTTTCTCAGGTTAATGAATACGTGAATGAATTCAATTCATTTGAAAACAGGAAAAGCTTATGCTGAATGAGAAAAAGACAAACAAAATCAACAACAAAAAACACTTTGAGAATGTAGTTTAAAAAAACTTTTACGTTTTATTTGTATTCTCCAAATAGCTGCTGATAATGTATGGAAAGAAGATGCCCTGGAAGGGTTAGTACAGCCTCACGACTAAGCTAAGAAAGTCCCAGAATGTTCAGTTATTACTTTTATGTCAAATCTGCGGGGGGAGAGCCATGGGCATTCCAAGTGCTGCGGGTACACAAACTGTGTATGCGTAAGGCTCAGGGGCTTCCAGGGATGCCTGCTTGTGTGACACACTGACCACCTCAGGCCAGTCCTCAGCCTTCCCCAGCCTCCTGGCCACAGCTGTACCGTGGGCGCAATAATCGCCTCTCTCTCAGGGCGGTTGTGGGATTCAGAGTAGTTCGCACAGTGCCTGGCACATGGTAAGTGCTCAGTAAATGTCTCCCTTGAAAGGTTATTGTGAGGATAGCATAACAGCACCTTTCACAAAAATAGGCACCTTGTATCTGTTAGTGGCCTTTCTTTCCCCCTTTTCTTTTCTGCCACCTTCTTCCTTCAACCTATACTTTATGGAAAGAAGGGCATCAGGAGGTGCTGATGGGTCTAAAACACGTTGAAATGCAAGAGAGGTTGGATCTAAATGTATGCATAAATAGACCCGCTCCGGGAACCCACACGCACTCTCCTCCTCTTCTGAGGCAAAAAGCCACCTTTATAAAATAATTAGGCTCATGCTGCAATTCTGTTGAGGATTCATTTCTGCCTTTTCCTTTAATGAGATTTAATTTTATGCATATTACATGTAGCTAAACTGCTTATAATGAATTGAATAAAAATGAATGCAGACACCCTTCCATTTAGAAAAGTGAGCTGCCTTAGGGATTTATAATGAAATCAGCTTTCTGTTTTTCTTAGTACATCATTTGTTTAAGAAACACAAATATTTGCCTGGACTTCAGTTGGTTCATGTGTGTTAATGTTTTATGTGAATTCAGCTTCAGACAGAGCCAGAAGTGAAATCAAAGGGGAAACGCCAGGGCAGCCGCCTAGGAAGAGCTGCTCGGAAGTGGCTCTCATTACGTGATTGCACTGATATGGGGCAGTCACTGAGTCCACCTTCTTACATAGAGTCCCTGCTCTGTACCAAGCACCAACTGAGTGTGTTACACATATTAACTCATTTAAACTCCTGACAACCGTAGGAAACATTAAATATTCCCATTGTATAAATGACAAATAGAGGCACAGAGAAGTTGTATTGCCTGCTCAGGCATCAGAGACAGGACTTGAGCCCAGGCAGTCTGGCACCAGGGCCCACAGCTCCAGACAGCTCTAGAGCTACACTACCTTGTCTCTGAGAAACACCTCCTGTGTGTTCATGACCATGTGCCACACATCGTCCCAGGCATTCACTGTGCATCAATGTGTTTAATCCTCACAATAACCCCTTGCCCAGGTAGCCCAGTTAGGAGGTGGTGGATACAGCATGTGAGGCCAGACAGTGCTTTCCAGTGTTCAACTTGGCATCGGTTCAATACCCAACCGAATTTTTCCTAATTGTCTAGAACCAAAAAGTAACAGTTTGTTTTTTCTGAGTTTAGCTTAGAAGTAGACAGAAAAAAAGCTAACTTAAAAGTGGCTAAACTTAAAATTAGACAGGAAAAAAAGGGCATAAAGTTTTCTAGAGCATTCCCGACTCTAACAAATTATTTATTAAGCTATTAATATATATTAATTAATATTTATAGTATATTAATTTATTAATATACTTTCTAGTCACCATGCACTGCCATGACTCCCAGGGTGGGAGAGCAATCCTAGATATTGTATATCTTCTCTGTCTCTGTACCTTTTGAGGACACTGGCCATTCTTTTGTGAACACTATTGTGTTCACTTTTGAAGCTGAGAATGCAGAATCCCACAGAAAGGATGTAGATTTTCCCAGCATCACAAAATAAGTAGCATTTTAGAAATCCTATGAGAACTGATGACCTTAAAATACATCCTTGTTTATGGGCGAGAAGTAGCAGAGGACAGTGTTTCAGCTCCAGTTCTCAGGTAAGCTTGGTCTGGTACATCTCGGTCCTTTTTTGTGTCCCAAATCAGGTTTAACATTTCTACACCTGCTTTCCGAGGCTGCATGAAAAATCTGAAGAAACCCAGTGGCGTGGTTAGGTTGAATGATACTGTGGGAGTAACAAAGAAGTGCTCAGAAGACTGGAAGGTATGTGACGAGTTCATAACCTTACAAGGGAGTGTCCCCCAACCACCCATTTTTGGTATTCGTTAAAACATCAGCTTTGGACTCCTTTCTGGTAGCACACAGTGTTACTGTGAACTGGCTTACATACACTCCCCACGTGCTTGCAAAACCTCTTTAGGTTTGCATATGAAATTTGTAGGAAAGGAGTAATACCAATGACACACAAAGAAACCTGCAGATGATCAATAAATTGCCATTCAGAAAAGCAAACTTAATTCTCCTCAAGGCCTCATAAACCACATTAATCAGTTGAGGTGCCCTGACATAGGACAAGATCTGTATTTCAGCCATTAAATGATTGCAATGCCAGTCATTTATTCCGTGTTTGCATTTCAGCTCGTGCGATCTGCCTCATTCTCCAGGGAAGGACAACTGAGCTTCACCAATTTGGACTTCCCATTGTCCAGCCAGTTCCAGGCCTCCTTTGGGTTTCAGACCTTTCAACCCAGTGGCGTGCTATTAAATCATCCTGCAGGGGTATGAAACATTGCATGAATACTGAGCAAGATTTAAACCTGACTCAACATCTGATGTCAAAAGCAATAGAGAGATTTTGAATGTAAATTAGTTGGGCGTTTTATCTATCGTCACATGATCAATGCCATTGTATATTTCAACCATGGAGGTTGAGCTATACACCCTGGGGTAGGTCCTAAAGGAAATCAGGTTTAGAAAGTACATTGTAGTTCACAGAATTGAATTTGTGTGTATTCATGGGCTCATTTTTATTCTTTGTTAGATTTATTTTTTGAGTCAAGGTGAATTATAACTGTTAAAAGTTATAATGTAGCTTAAAGTTTTAGATCTAAGGAAAAAATCAGAATGTATCTCCACTATTCCTTTTTTATATCATGAAAGGTAGCTCTTCTTTTCATGCAGCAGCTTATTGGACAATATTCATATCTGGGAAATGGGAGAAAAGAAGGTCTTTTGCTCTTTGTTCATGTACAACAGAGCCACAGAAATTCTCTTCAGCAAGGAGATACCTCTATACCTTAAGAGAATTTAGCTAGTGCAGTTACATAGGTGTAGAAGTCAACTAACACTTAGAAATCTCTTTGTGGAACACGTGGGATTTTAAAATAGAGGTAGAAATAGCATAGTGCCATTCTGGATTTGTGTCTTCAGAATTTCCAGCACAACAGATATCTAGTATTTTTTTAAAAAGAATATAAATGTATGGTAATATGTCATTTATTTATTTTTTTAATTTTTGTCTTTATTGTTGAAAGTATTACAGATGTCTCCCTTTTCTCCCCATTTACCCCCTCTACCTGGCATTCACCCCTGCTCCCTCCAGGCCTTCTCTACACTATTATGTGTCCATGGGTTGTGCATATATGCATATAAATTCTTTGATTAATCTAGTATTTGTTGAAAGGAAGGATGGTAGCTGACTCTGTGGCTTTGTCATATTAGAAAGCCTTTCCTCTCTTGACTTCTTTGCTCATTGGCCTTTAGAGATCTTTTTTTCAAAAACTAGTGCTAAAGAAGCACATGCTAGCATTTAGATGGTGAGAATGGCTTTTCCATCAAAACAGGATGTTTTGATCTACGCTTTTGACCCCCAATACTCGTTTCTTCTGCTGAGGGTAGGGACACTTAGTACACAATATACAAAATGGTCGAAAGCAGATGGAAGAATTAATTGGCTTAGTAAAAGATGAGATCAATCCTGGGCAATGCAGGAATCCTGGAAATAGCCTAGGAACATGGCCCTCAACTTCATAATTGGTTAGCTAAGAAATGCATATAAATTAGCATTCTTTTATCTAATTCACAAGGAATATTGCCAACTGGAAAAAAAAAACAACATAAAATGAAACTGGCACTGCACACTGTAAAAATTGTTTTAGTCTAAAAACTCACTGAAGAATTACATCTTGCTGAAAATTGTAAAAATGTACTTGGTGGAGAAAACATCAACAAAATTAAAGTGACAACTGCTAAAACTACACATATTTTTTTTATTAAGAATTAACAGAAAGAATCAAATCATCTTGCCAGAATTTAGATCTGTAGTTTGACATTGGAAAATTGAACTTCCTAGAAATTATGACCAGAAAATAAAAAATTTATGACTGAAGAGATCACTGTTATAATCACGTGGGAAAAAATGATGAATCAAGTCTTCATTCTAAAGTTTGTTCAGAAAAGAATTGATCTGATGAAAACAACTTTAGCAAAATGAAACTGAAAATAGAAAAATTTAGAGATGGTTTAACTGTTTTGTATAGTTGCTGGAGAAATTAAATTGGTTTCTGAATGTAGATCCATAAAATGCTTTTAACAAATTCATCAGTGTTGAAATAATAGCATAAGATTTTTATATTCATAAACATGAAGTTAAAATATTTAAAAATAGTCATTAGATCAAAATAGCAAAGTCAAAACATTTGGGTCAAAACATCCTGACTGTTTTGTACATAATTTTGATCATACATGCAGAATTGATACATTCATGAGTCTTAAATGCAAATTCATTGTACTGATGGGTATATTCTATGATGATTTCAGACAACTAGCCTACAGGTCTCCCTGGAAGATGGTCACATTGAGCTCAGCACCAGGGATCGCAGCAGCCCAATTTTTAAATCTCCACAGACATACATGGATGGTTTACTGCATTATGTGTCTGTAATAAATGACAACTCTGGGTGAGTGGAATGGCATTTCTGCCACAGCTCTAAGAATTTCACTTTATTTAGTTTAATGGAATTGTCTAGTGTCTTTTCTTGTGAAATATTTGTCCTTGAGATTGACACTATTTTACTAGTAAGTCGGGGCCTTCTTCCTGGTTCTATATTAATTTCTTTATTAAAAATTAATCAGCATTGGATGGCTAGATAAATTGTGGTATATTCAAAATGGGAGAATAAAATGGGAGTAATGAGAATGAAAGCTCTACAACCTTCCATGACAGCATGGTTCCTACACAAAGACATTGAGTCTGAATTGAAGACAGTAAGTTGACCACAAGGCGACAATCTTCTGTTTTCCAGCACTTCTCACCCTTGTCCTTTCCTTGTCTTTCAGACTCCAGCTTCTCATTGATGACCAGCCTCTGAAAAGTAACCAAAGGCTACAAAGCATTTCAAGTTCCCAGAAATCCCTGCGCCTGGGCGGGGGTGATTTTGAGGGCTGTATCAGCAACGTTTTTGTCCAGAGGTGCGTGCCCGTCTCTCTGTGTGATGAGAACAGCCTGTGATGCAGAGGGCATGCCGTTGGTTTGCTGGTGGAGCGGATTACCACAAACTTTCAAACAATGATGTCGTTGGCAGAATACACACATTAAAAACAAACCAACAACAACCAAAAATTTTAAAAGAACACCTGGGCCCAGCCTTCCTTTGTAGGAGCAGCTTTGGCACATAACCTTTAAAAGGTCTAAATAAAATTAAGTTTCATATTATGTTTCTGAGGAATATTCACACCAAGATTTTACTTAATTTTAATCAAGATTGTACAATTAGATGTAATCAGTTCTCCCAGTTTTCAAGGCCAAAGAATTACATGGCCCAGTGCAGTGCAGGGCTAGGAAACCAAACCACCACAGCGTCCAACGTGACTTTCATAGAGCAGAGCCTGATGCTCGCATGCAAATGTTTTAATGTTCTTTCCTTCTGATACAAAATGATTCTTTTTAGATAAGAGGCAAAACCCCTCCCAAGGCAGAGGGAGGGCCTGGGACTGGTCATGAACCTCAGGCAGCCTGTCAGGAGCTTGTGGGCTCCTACTGTCCATCAAGGCTCCGATAACAATCATGAGATAAAGCACACTTAGCTGTGAGACTTTCCTACTCAAGTGCAGTGAGAAAAATCCCTTCATAAACTCACATCTGAGGTTTCCTTATGTTCACCATCATTCTAGATCAACCATTTTCAACCAGTGTCCCACGGCACACTGATGCACCGTAAGAATTTTTAAAACATGCAGTACTGACTATTGAGTCAGGGGCACTGACCCCTTTTCCCTTAGGTTGTCAAATAAATAAATAAAATGACAATAGCCAACACAATAATAGCCATTCAGTGTGAAGGAATCAAAATTGTACCTATTTTTTGTCAGAGCAGCAAAAAATATATTTTTTGGTGTGCCGCAGAATTATTAGTAATTAGTTTATGTGCGCCACAAGATGGGAAAGGTTGAAAACCACTGTTCTAGACCAGGTTTCTCCTCTCTGCATAGTTTGTTTTTATATTTCTATATGACACTCGTTCCAAAGAAAGAACTGTAGTGTTCTGGCTTAGCCACAATCCTGGATGTTCAAAAAGAAAAAGAAAAGTTTCTCATGCCCTTCTGCTGGCCAGGCACAGTGCTGGGCATTTCAGGGAACACAAAGGTGGGCACAGCACATCCTCAGCCTCATGCGTCCAGTGACTCCTCCAGGTGTAAGGTTCAGGGAGATGAAAGGCTACCCAGAAACCATGACAGTAAGAATGTGTGTTTTTGGAATAATCTCTCCCTGCCAATGTGTTTTCCAAGTTCGGCAGCAGCTTTCTTTTCTGCCCTCATTCCAGGTTGTCACAGAATCCTGAAGTCCTAGATTTGACCACTAAATCTGTCAAGAGAGGTGTGTCCCTGGGAGGCTGCAGTTTGAACAAACCACCTTTTCTCATGTTGTTGAAAGGTTCTGCAAGGTTTAGCAAAGCCAAGACTTTCAATATCAACCAGGTAAGTGTCAAACCATATCCCCAGTTTTTCTTCTCGCTATCTCATGGGAGATGCTGGAGGAGGGCCAGGAGGGGTGGGCAGGGTGTGGTCAGTGCCTCCAGGAAGTGGATTTGATGGGTCATTAACAGTTGGATTATACCAAAAGGTCAAAATGGTTTTCTTTTTAGCTTTTATTTTGTATCGATAAAAATTTGGCAATTTTTGCAGTCATACAATAAACAGAACCTTGACTTAGGTGCCACATTTTTGTACCTGATGTCTTGCTCTTTTAACACTTCTGTCTCTAATGAGCACAATAATTGTCTAAAATACAGAGGCCATGCCCCTTCTCCCCACAGACACCCCTCTGCCCTGCCTCTTGTGACACATACACACATGCACCCAGGCCTTGCTGAGACCAGTGTGGCTTGACCTTGACTGCACATGAGAAACACCTGGAGAGCTTTTAAAATCCCAGTGCTCACCTGGCCTGTGTGGTGCAGTGGTTGAGCGTTGACCTAAGAACCAGGAGGTCACAGTTCAATTCCCTGTCAGGGTACATGCCCAGGCTTGGTCCCTGGTAGGGGGCGTGTAGGAAGCAGGAGACAGCCAATTGATGATGTTTCTCTCTCATCAATGTTTCTATCTCTCTATTCCCTCTCCCTCTCTCTCTAAAAATCAATATATATATATATATATTTTTAAAGTTGTTTAAAAAAAATCCCAGTGCTCAGGTTGCATCCCACCCAATTAAGTCAGATGCTCAAGGTGGGTCCAGGTGGCAGACGTTTGTAAAGTTCCCCCGGCGATTCTAATGTGTAGCACGAAGAGAGACTGGAAGGAAACAAAATTCCTCATTTGCAGGAGCAAAAACGTCTTAATGAATTGAACACAGGGTTAGAACTTAAAGAATTCCTTGCCTTGCCTGAGGTCAACCGTGTGACCTCCCCACGTCTGAGGTTACAATTAATATGATTAATAGATAACATTGAGCACCTCCCGTGTGCCAGGCATCGCACTGAGCTCTTTAAGTGGATTTTCTTACTACATCTGCAAGTAACCTTGGGAGAGAAGTACTATTACTAGCCACATCTTACAGAAAAGGGTGTTATGGCTTAGAAAGGCAAGCAATTTGCCTATGCTCCTGCAGATGGAAGGTGGAGTTGGATTTCAAACCCAGGCGGAGCCCATGTGCTCCTAAGAGCAATGTGCTTCTGTTCAGCATGCTCTTCACTTAACGTCAACCGCACACTGCTTGTCTGCCAGTACTTCCCCGCTGCACAGTGATTTGGGGGAGTTTAATAGATAGTACCTAATAAGAAATGTTTTATGCTATTAAGAAGGAATATGCTTCATAAATCCCAAAGGGTTGTCATTTCGCTGTTATAGAAAGAACATCTTTAGACCTGCCCCATCAGGAATGAAGTCATATATTCATTTTTTTACTGTAAGGCTGAAAATTACCAAGAGACTAAATTAGCACAGTGGTGGTGGAGATGGAGAAAAGGAGATGGATTCAAAGCTATTTAAAAGATAGAATATACATAACATAGTAATTGAATGTGGGTGGCAAGAGAGGGGCAGGATTTCATATAATTCTGAGGCATCTAGTCCAGTCACTGGATAGATGCGGACGGCATCGTGGAGAGAGGACAGGACAGTATTTGGAGGGAAAGGAACTGAGCGCAGTTCGTAGCATATTGAGTGGCAGGTGCCTGCGGGACATCCAGGGAGAGAATGCTGGCGGGAGACTGTTGGGTGTCTCTGAGTGGACCTCAGCAGACAGGGTAGGACTGGGGCTGTTGACATGGGAGACACCAGAGAGTACGCCGTTCTGTGCGATCCCCCAGGTTAGATGAAAAAAGATATTCGTTTTTGCCTCCCAAAGCCCAGTAACAGAGAGAAGGCAACAGAGCTTTGTAGTTATGTACTGGACTTTGGGGTCAGGCTTCCTGGGTTTGTATCAGGTGTTATCACTTATTAGGTGTGTGACCTCCAGTGAATATTGACCTCCCTGTGGGTCTATTTCCTGCAACATAAATGAGGATACATAATAGTACTAACTCATGGTGTGAGGGGTAAAGGAAGTAAGAAACACAGAACAGGTAGAGAAGTGCCTGGTACTTGGTAAGCATGCAGTAAATATCAGCTATTATTATTATTATTATTGTTATACACACTAAAAACCTAAGTGAAAGGGATACAACATGCTACAGGGTGGTACAGCAGGCACTTTTCTGCAGAGATCAGGGGTGTCCTTTTGGAGGAGGTGATACATGAACTGAGTCTGGAGTATGGGTTGACTTTAGACAAGTGAGTATTATCGCTACATGAGCAGAAGGCCAAAGCTGGGAGGCAGGATGTGGGTGGGACTCTCAGGTTCAAGACACTTTACGTGTATTCTCTCCAAACCTCACAAGTCTTCTTACCATCTCTCTGTTCTCAGCACACCCCTCTGAGAGCAGAAGAAAACACCAACTTTATAGATCAGGAAATTGAGTCTCAGAGTGGTTAAAAAATCTTGTCCTGTCAGTGAATGGTAGATTCAGAATTGAAGCTTAGGCTGTAGAATCCCAAAGAATGTGCTCTTCACATGTGGCATCTGCAGGCTTGGAAAGCTTGGTGAACAGGGGAATGTGATGGAGAAAAGAGACTGGGGGAAGTAAGCTCAGAATCCACTTGAACCAAGACTCAGGAGAGTCTTGGATGGCCTGATGTCATGTTAACATTTTTTCTATAGTTAATGTGAAGCCGTGAAAAGGAGGGCTTTGGTTACAGAGTTTCAGATCCTAAGCTGCAGTCAGATCCAGATCTGGCTGTGATTTTAAGCAATTCACTTAACTTCCTAGTGATCAAACATCTCCACTCGGCAATGTGCAAACACAGAATGTTTTAAATAACTGATTTGCATTCTGAGCACCTATCTAGGAATTGGGTCGGGGAGGAAAACCTGATCTTGAAGGAATCTGAATCCATGGGGAAGCCGTCAGCTGCTAGCTCCAGAAAACCCACTGCAAAATGTTTAACCAGCAAGGAATCTACAGTGTCACGTTAAGGGACACAGGTGGGGCTTGAGGCCTGGCGCATCAGGACTGGGCTCTGTCCTGCACAGCTGGGAGTGGCATATCCTCACGTGACAATGCCCAGCACCAGAAGCACTGATCTGCCAGGCTTTCTCTCTCCACTAGAAGGAAACCATTCCCGGAGGCCCCACCCCAGGTTTACCCTCAAGGCTCATTGGCCAGGAGAGGCTCACATGTTCATTCCTAAACCAGTCCTTAGCAAGATGAATTTCCACCTTTAGCTTTGAAAAATGGAGATCCCTGCTCAGCTCTAAGCCCCTTGGGAAAAGGATGGACAGGTCATTAAAATCTGGGCTTTGCAGCAGAGAAAAGAGGGGCGGCTGGCAAGTCTTAGTTTCTTTCAACAGTTGTTTAAGTGACATTTGATACTTATTATGGTTGTTTTCTGCATTAAAACTCAGTCCCATTCAAAAGTTCAAAGCACTGTCCAGCTCAGACTTCGGTGCATGGGTCAACTTTGATGAAAGTGGGGACAGGCTGTGGACCCACCCCATGCCTTCTGTATCCTGCTCTCCTGATCCTCTCACTGCCCTACTGCGAAAGCCCGAGTGCATGGCCCCGGGGAGGTGGTAGGTTGGCAGCTCCTTGGCCCACCAACTAGCTGTGCAGGCCTCGGAGCTGCCTGCCAAACACTGGCTCTCAAGGGACGCTGGTTCTAATGAAGTCCCCCCAGAGAGGGGCTCTGGATGGCCACTGGCTCCGGGCACAGCACTGCTGTAGGATGGGATTAACCTCCATTCTCCCCAGGGACGAACCCATCTGTATTGAATTCCTCTTTTAGGATCCAAAGTAAAAACGGAGCTAGGCACTTAGCCAGGTGCATTCTTCATCCTCCCCCCCCCGATAATTAGTGGCCCTAATTTTGTGCTTCTTTTCCCATACAGCCATTGCAGGACACACCAGTGGCCTCCCCGAGGAGTGTGCAGGCGTGGCAGAATGCTCAGTCTTGTCCATCACCTCCCGGGGCCCAGGCCAGTCACGGAGCCCTCAGGTTTGGGGACAGTCCCACCAGCCACTTGCTATTCACGCTTCCCCAGGAGTTGCTAAAACCCAGGTATTATTTCATTTTCTTGCCCCTACGCCATCTCAGAGCCTGACTCTGTGATTTTACCCCAGGGCAGGCTAGCTGGCATGACACTGTGCCCCTGTCACTGATGATGGTGGCACTACCACTTTTGTGCAAAAAGGTGCTGGCTTGCACAGGACATACAGCATGACTGCTGAGTGTGCTCCCTCCCCACAGCTGGAATGCACGCATGACGTGTGCTGCTCCCAGGCTGAGACAATCAGCTCAGCTCCGGTTTAGAATTGACAGTGTTCTAAAAATAGGCTGATAATTCTTTTCAAAGCTGCTATTTATTTCTATGATAAGTCACCTTTCTTCCCCTGCATTCTATAATCAGAGGAAAATCATTCTTTTCGGTAGACTCAAGTGCCCAATAGATCATTTTTAGAGAACACATTTGGACTTTTTGTGCTAAAAAGTTGCATCTCTTTGGGGGAAGAAGGAATGAGCAGAGACATTAATTATACCAGAAAAAATGTAGAAAAACAAGGTTTGTCATTTTCATGTGATATGAAGGAGACCAAAATAAAAAGGTGCCAAAAATTCCTTTGTGACTTATCTATAGGAGCAGAATTTCTCAGGGGTCCAAAAGACCTCACTTTCAGTCCCCGTTCAGCCACTTGCTGGCTGTGTGAGCTCAGGCCCTCCAGGCTGGAAATGTCAGGGCGGGACTAGAAGTGCAGGAGATTTATTGCCCCTGTAGAAGAGAAAGGGGCAGGGGCAGGAGCGAGCCAGGAGCTAGGGGCCTGCCCCCAGTGAAAGGAGAGGGAAAGGAAGGAGCAGTGGGTGGGAAGGGCCTCAGGCTGCAGTGCAGTTCAGAGAGTCAGGCTCTCTACTGCCGCCCTTTTGGGGTGTTAATCAGTCTTTTCTGAAAGATAGTTGCTTTAAGAAATAATTCTGGAGAGCAAATGTCAGGCCTGGTAACCACGCCCACATATGTAAAGTACTTGAATTCTGTAGCACGTTCTGTCCTCCTTAAATTGGCTAACCCTCGTTTCCCAAACCTCCACACTAACACAGATACACCAGGAGAAATATTGAGCAGTGTCTCCATCTGGTTGGTTTCATTTAACAAATATAGATTTCTTTCTCATTTTGAAGAACATTACCCTCAAGGAAACTTGCTAATTTGAAGAATTAAAGTACATCTCAGTGTTGGCTCAGCCGCACAGTATTGAAAAGCAAAGAGGAATTAAAGTGTGATTTTTTTTTCTTCCACTTCCCGATTCTGCCTCTAAATTTTCCATATATAGTACCATTTAATTCAATTCAGTAACTAATTCTTCAGTGCTCACTGTGTACTAGGCACTGGGGATACAGCCTTAAGCAGGATAGACCCAGTCCCTGCCGGTGTGTACTTATTCATAAACCACAGGAACGGGCATGACAGCTTAGTAACACCCTACTGCGCTTTTAGGCACCCATTCCAGTGCGCCATAAACAATTCCAGGAATGAAACGTCCATTACTGCACTCTTAGCGCCCGCCACAGCGTTTTATACATACTACACACTCATTCAACATGTGTTGAGTGAATGAATAAATGAATGAGTGGAAGGATAGATGAATGAATGTGAGTTTTCATAGAAAGTAAAGCTTGTTTAGCCAGGTGTACATACAATATGCAACACCATGCAAATGAATATTAACTTTCATTCTCCGCTTTTACTGCATGATGCTTGCTTAATTCCAGTTTTATCATAGGTGGGGCATTAAGGTCCGAGAAACTTAAAGGTGGATGGGAGAAGGTGGACGTGTACTTGTGTGCCTCTGTGTTAAAAGTGTCTTACAGAAAGAAAATGCTTGCCTGATGCTTAAATCAAATCCTTGCTATTCAAATTATCCCCCAGCTGCTCTTCACAACTTCTCCTTACATGTATACAAAATAGCACGCATGTTCACAGGGCTTAAAAGTATGTGAGGAGGAGCTGCCCAGTGAAATAAGCCAGTCACAAAAGACAAATACTGTATGGTTTCACTTATACAAGGTACCTAGAGTGGTAAAATTCAGAGACAGAATAGAGAAGGGTGGTTGCCAGGGGCTGGGGGCAGGAGGGAATACAGAGTTGTTTAGCGGGTACAGGGTTTCAGTTTTACAAGATGAAAAGAGGTCCAAAGGTGGGATGTACAAACAATGTGAATGTACTTAAAACTACTAAACTGAACACTTTAAAATGGTAAAGATGGTAAGTTTTATGTTATGTTCATTTTACTAATTTTTGTAAATGTTGATTTTTATTTTATTTTAAGTAAGGCATCTTCCTCCTTGCCATGTGCTGAGATTTACACCTCCAGCTAAGCTTGCTGTGGAACTTCCACATTATTCCCCAACTCAGTGAGGAAATTATACATCACAGCTTTTTTTTTTTTTTTAATCCTCACTAGAGGATATTTTTTCCATTGCTCTTCAGAGAGAGTGGAAGGGAGAGAGAGAGAAACACTGATGTGAGAGACACACCGATTGGCTGCCTCCCTGACCTGGGCCGGGGATCGAGCCTGCAACCGAGGTACGTGCCCTGGGCCAAATTCGAACCTGAGACCCTTCAGTTTGCAGGCCGGTGCTCTAACCACTGAGCAAAACCAGCTAGGGCTACAACATAACTTTTAACAGCCAAATAGAAAAACTTTTAAAAGTTCCCAGAGAGACAGATCATTTAATGAGCACATACCTCAGTTTATTCATTTAAATAATGGGGGTTTGGGTATTTGCCCTTCACCCTCTCCCCCAGCTTTGAAAATTTGGAAAAACACGAAAAACCTCTATTTTCCTTCTGTGCCCATTGCTTTCTTTTTCTGCAGGTCACAATTTGCTGTGGACCTGCAGACAACATCCTCCAGGGGGCTTGTGTTTCACACAGGCACGAAGAACTCCTTTATGGCTCTCTATCTCTCCAAGGGACGACTGGTCTTTGCTTTGGGGGCAGAAGGGAAAAAACTGAGGCTCAAAAGCAAAGAGAAGTGCAATGATGGGAAGTGGCACACGGTAAGAGCTGGGGCTGCTTCAGAAGCTCAGCACTAGGCGCTGCTACAGGTCCATGCCTGGGTGTCATCTTAACTGCCAAGATGGGCTTTGCTCACTGCTTCAGTCCCCTCCATGCCTCGCTGAGGTGTCTCACTCCCCTTGCCCACTCCCACCCCAGCTTCCCGGACCATGTCCCTCCTTCAGGACCAGGCTCCTCTCTGAGCCTTCTCCATCGCACAAGGATAAGGACCCGCATCTCTAGCATCCTAGCTCCTGCCTTCAGGCATCCCAGATTTAAAGAATTACAGTTTAAAGCAAGAAGGGACTTCTTTCTGATAAGGCAACTGGAACTCAGAAAACTTGAGTGATTTGACAAGTCCTACTCACTTAGTCAACAAATATTTAATAAGCTGCCATCCTGGAGCACATAAAAAAATCCCCACTCTAATGTCAGATACTGGTAAGTGCTTTGAGAAAATACTGAAGCCAGGTAGGGAAATAACTGAGTAGAGAAACTATTTTAGATACGGTAGTGAAAAAAGGCCTCCTCCAGGAAGTGACAATCACATGAAGTTCTAGGGAGAGTGTTTCAGGCAGAGGGAACAGCAGGTACAAAGACCCTGAGGTAGGAATTAGCGGAGTGAACAGAACAGAAAGGGCAAGAAATGGGATTCAAAAGCAAGGCAGGTCCCAGATCTTTTAAGCTTTGGATACCAAGATAAGAACTTTGGATTTTATTTTGAGTGTCCCTGAAGCTTTTGGAGAGTCTAAAACGAAAAAGGGAGCATTGCATGAATAGATTTATATTTTCAAAAACTCTCTTTAGCTGAAGAGACCGAAAGCAGGTAAGAGGAGAAGTAGGTAGACCAGATGGACACTAGTGCCTTTGCTTTGAGAGGCTGTCATAGAGGTGGGGAGAAGTGAGCCATCCTGGGTATGTTCTGAAGGCAGACCCAAGAGGCCTTGCTGATGGATTCCATGTATAGTGTGAGAGAAAGAGGAATCAATATTGAGTGCTATGATTTTGGACCAGCAATCGGGTCTATAGTGGAACCTTTGCTGAGATGAAAAAGATGGGAAGGAGGTGAGTGTGGCCAGGGAAGGAGCAGTGCAGAGCTGGGGAAGAGTAGGGGTTCTGGTGTAAACATCCTAGAGTTGAGTTGCCTATCAGACACGTGAGCCCACATGTGTGTAGACAGTAGAGGCCGGAGGTCACAGCTGGGTGTATAAACTGGGGAGCAGTTAGAGAATAGTTTCATAGCCGTGAGGTGGCAGGGTCCACAGTGGAGCTTAGGGATCGTGACTTCTAGCAGAGTTTAAAACACTTGCTTCTCTTGTTAGAAGAGAAGTAGCCACTGGCCCCTTGCTCCAGGAGCCTTGCTCAAGGGAGCATGTGACTCCCCCACCCCTTAGCTCTGCACAAACTATTCCTTTCCCTTTGTTGCATGGGGGTGTATATATGTATGTTCCTTTAGATCTTCAGTTGTTTATATTTCCACAAGTTTCCAGATTAATTATATCTTTATTAGTTCACTTTCAAACAAGCTTTTTTTTTTTGCTTACTTTTTTTAGCTCACTTTATTCAATATCTACTATATCACAAAATGATGATGATGACGACAATAGAGAGAAAAATCTCTGATTTTTTAAGGCTACTCAAAGGGACAGAAAAACATTTTTTAAAAATTTTCTGTGACCACTAAATAAAATACAGCAGCAACTGTCAAAGGCAAAACTATTATTAACTTATTTTCTTTGCTCTTAAGGTGGCATTTGGACAAGATGGAAAGAAGGGACGCTTGGTTGTAGATGGTCTGAGGGCCTGGGAGGGAAGTTTACCTGGAAATTCCACCGTCAGCCTCAGAACATCAGTTTACCTGGGATCGTCTCCATCAGGGAAACCAACAGTAAGTAGCTATGCTTCAGAACCGTAGATAAAAAATAACTAGCTTTATAATATAATCATTATAATTATGCAAGATATTCAAAGATACCAAAATGCTCTAAATGATTTTTAAAATAATCTAATTAATGTCCATAAACCCACAGAGAGGTACACATTCCCCATTCCCAGCCTTTCATTTTACAGGTACAGCTTGAAACACAGGCAAGCCCTGAAGGAGTGAATTCAGGCCTTCTCCATGGATTTATACACACGGATCTCAGCTTGTCTTTCAGGGAATGCAAAAACCTGGGTTTAAGATGGAAGTTTTGATTAAGATAATATATTTCAAACTTTAGCAATTTGTGCCACCTTCACCATCTTTACCATACCCAGTAAAACATTAATAATTTGTTCTCAATCAACTCACTAATTTAAATTTGTTTTTAAAGGATCTTTTTTTCTCTCTCCTAAATGGAAATCCAATATCCTTAAACCATAAATCGTAGATAACCATAAAAATAAATATATGAAAATAAAAGTGTTTAAAAAGTCCAGCTAGATAGTGTAGCCTGCACTGCCTTCATTTGTAGAAAAAGCAGCTTGACAAGTGATCAAGAAGTGTTTAAGATATTAGCACTAAACAGAAATTTGTTCCTTCCCTAATAAGGCTAGACAGAGAATTGAAAAGGGAATAACATAATAACTGAATATTTGTTTTAATGTTATTTGGTGTCTAAAATAAATTAGGCTAAGGGAGAGTCACAAGTCTGTCTGTCCCCAAGGAGGAGGAGAAGGAGGAATATGAACCTGGATGTGTCAAGTTCAAAGGCTCTGATGGGGCCACGGCTCTAGGGCTGAGCTCGGCATGCCCTCTCCCTATCTCTCTTCCCACACTGCCAGAGCACAGATTGCATCTGGGTTACTCGGGGCAGCTATCCTCACTTGCCATTCTCCCAGATTTGCTTTTTTTCTCCCACAAAGTGAAGTAAGATGGTCCTGTCAGCAGCTCAGGCCTAGGAACTGCCCTCTACCTAAATGCGCTGCCGTGTGCTCAGCCCCTCTTGCCCCTTTTCGCATGGGCGGTGGCCCATTCTGGTATGAAGTTTGCTTGCAGTTGTGGAGGAAGGGCCAAGACCCAAATCTGGGCCTGGGAATGGGCATAATTAAGGCAGATCATTTCCACTAGTGTAGATTCTGGGCATTCAGGCTGACGTTGCCTAGGCCAAAGTATCTCCACACGGCTCAGCCTGGTCCCCTTGAGTCTCTTTTTTGCTTTATATATATATTTTTTCCCCCCCTTGAGTTTTGCACTGGGGTTTGGGTCAAAGCCCCAGCAAGTCTTAAAGTATCGTTTTGCTTCATTATAGATAATAACATATCATAAATAATATATAACATAATATAGTATATGTAATATATTATATAACATATATATTAATTGCTAAAGAGGATACTCAATGTTACTGTTTGCTTTTCTGAAACCTCTGTACCCATTTCCCTCTCAGAGAAGTAGCTATTCAAGGGCACAATTTGGGTATTCTTTTGACCTGGATAAAACACACTTGGCCTCCTAATATCTGGAACAATATTCAGCACCCGATTTACAACATTCTTATAAGCCAGGGTTCTCTCTGCAGCCTCCCTTCAACCTGAAGGATTACCATTGGATTACTCTCCTCCAAATCCTCTCAAAGGGCAGGCCCCATCCAATCAAACCATGCCTGCTGCTGGGCACCAAAACCTGCAGTCAGCGTGTAGGGTTCAGTGTAGGCTATGGCCTATCCTGCAGAGTTTGAGCTGGGTCTCAGCTCAGGCTCTTTATTGTATAAGATGGCAAGTCTTAAGATACTAAAAACTTCATAGGAAGCCCAATCAGCCCTTTATCGTCAACACTGACACCACATGCCTCTCTAATATCACCATAGTCTCTCAAAATTATCATGTCTTGCATCTGTCATGTAGAATTTCAGGGTCCTAAAGGTATCGATAGAAGGGATTTTAGGGATTTAATTCAGTGATTCTTTAACTTTTTTGAGAATTTCATTAAAGTTACAGTCCCTCTTCTCAGGCAAATGCACATGCAGAGAATATCTGATATATGATTTAAGGGATCACAGAATCCAGAAACGCACCCCTGGGCCCCAGGTGAGAATTACTGTTCTAAGCCAGTGTTAGGCAGGCACAGAGCTCCATGCAAGCTCACCGATGCTGCACAGCGTGTCTTATTTTAACTCTAAGGCATTCAGTGAGCCCAACAATGTAGAGAACCTTTTTACACTTTATTATTTTTGGAATGTTTTGGCCTCTTTTTTCAGTCAGCTGCCCTGCATTAAGCAATCACATGAGCTCATAAAATCCTAAGAAGTGGTTTGTACCTGCAAGGAGATGGTGAGATCTGTGACGCTTAAGGTGGAAACTCCCCCTCTTGGAGCTCTGTCCAGGTGGACCAGGGTCAGGTCACCCTCCCTGCTCTTGTTCCAGCACGTGCAAGCAACCTCCACCACCCCTGCCCTCTGCACACATGCCACTTGGGTTGGTGGCACCTTCAAGTTTGACCATCCACCAGACATCTGGTATCCAGGTTTTTCTTGGTACTATGGGCAGGAGCGAAATGGAAAAGTCAGGCCCACCTGACTCTGAAACAGGAAGAATGAGTCCCCAGCCTTCTGTCTTTAGCAGACAACTGCCCCGGCCCTTAACCGCAGCTGCCCCTGCGTTTCTGGGAGTTGTGGGTAATGAAGTTTGCGCTCTCTTCTGCTTGGTTGCAGAGCCTCCCCAAAAACAGCTTTGTGGGATGCCTGAGGAACTTTCAGTTGGATTCGAAACCACTGGACACCCCTTCTGCAAGCTTTGGGGTGTCTCCCTGCTTGATTGGCTCTTTGGAGAAAGGCATTTATTTCTCCCAAGAAGGAGGTCACATCAAACTAGGTAAGGACCAGTTTGGAAGAGTTTATGTCTTTGAGTCTGAAGAACTCCATCCTTTCTCTTGAATTATGATGTTTTAACTGTTTCTTGTTTCTTTTCTTTTGAAAGCTAACTCTGTGTTGTTGGGGCCAGAATTTAAGCTCGTTTTCAGCGTCCGCCCGAGAAGTCTCACGGGAATCCTGATACACATCGGCAGTGGGCCCCAGAGGCACTTGTGTGTTTACATGGAGGCAGGAAAGGTGCGTAGCAGTCTGAGGATGTGGAAGGGCATGTGGGTTTGCATTAGAAGCAGAGTCCAATTTTGGAGACCACAGTAGGTGAAGGGACTATAGAGAGTGGAATCCAGTCTTGTATTGGAGAGTCCTGACTTCAGGGCTGACTTACCTGCTTCCTTTAGCAAGTAATTTGATCATCATGTTTTCTGTTCTTCGTCCTTAAAATTGGGAAAACTCAAACAAGCTGGGCTGAATTCCAGCTGCACTGCTTCGTTATATGGCCCTGGGGAAGTCATGTACCCTCTTTCAGACTCACTGGCTTTTCTTTAGAATGTAGATAATAATGCTTATATCCTAGGGCTCCGTCAAGAGAAGAGAAGCTGCCATGTACTCAATAAATGTTCATTTTTCTCTTCTTCTTTTCACCTTTGTCACATCTCTCCTTTTATTCATAAGGGCAGTGCCAGAATTCATGGCATGCATTTCCTCACCAGCTGTCTGCACCATGCCGCGCCCATGCCCACGCCCCGTGTCCGCTGAATCAGTCTCACAGGTCTCCACGCAGGCTCCCTTTGGCTTTTCCTGGGTTCCTCCCTGCGTGTATACTTCTGCTGCTCCACCCTCCCCATTATTCACAGGCCTCGTCAATATCTTACCTTCATGACCCTGTTATATCGCTTCTCTTTTCACAAAATCTCTTTAAAACCAAAGTCTTCTGGGATGCCTCTCTTGGTCAAGGCCTCAAGGCAAAGTTTGATAATGTACCACTTTTTTCACCTGCATCCTTCCACATTTTATTAAATGGGATGGAAAAACTCCAAGAAGAAAATACAATCATCCAAACTCCTAGAACACTTTTTCTTTAAGTTGCAGCCTGTAGGCCTCTGATAGGGAAGAAGCAAGCAACTATCTACCTGCTTGCTGGCGGCTGAGACAGGCTGGCTTTTCAGGGGAGAGTTTGGGGAGAGTCTCCAGTGAGAGCTTCTAGATGGGAAATAATCACAGAAATTTAAAACAAGACCTGATGACCTTCATAACAGCAATCACATTGTTTAGCTCAAAAATCCCTCAAGAATAGGCTGCCCTGTCTAGCTACATGCACATTAAATGTAAATTATTTACCAACACTTATTTCAGTTCTCTCATGTTACTCACCTTGATTCAGTGCTTGGAGAATCCTAGCCCAGACAACAGGAATGCAGGATTCTACACAGTAACACGCTGAGTGCCTGACCCCTGACATGCGCCCAGTACAGATGCAATAGGTCAGCTCATTGGATTCCTCAGATGGGAACCCTCTATAAGTCATGTATTCATGGAATTATTTTAATTGGCTGGCCCTTGCAGCAGGGTGTAGGCCTTAGTCAGCATTTTTGCCTTCCAAGTTGTACATGTCCTTCTAAACAAAGCCACTGTCACATATAAATAGCTAAGGAGGATCTTTGATGTTAATCAGTAACCTTAGAGTAGGGCCTGATGGGGGCAGGGAGGGACGAGATCATTGCCTTTGGCAGCACCTTCAGGCAGAACTCTGCGTTGGCAGCTTGCTTGCTTCAAAGGGATAAAGCAGAGAGATTCTTGCAAAGCCTTGGACACCATGTGGTCACTTGGTGTGGGAGGGGGAACCTACATCTAAAGGGCTCTTGGGCTGTCAGGGTGGAAGTGTTGGGAATGGAAGATGTCAGGGGAAGTGGGCTCCACCTGTCTTTCTGAAGGAAATAGGAAAATGCATTTGTATTTCAGGTTGTGGCCTCTGTGGACAGTGAGGCAGGTGGGATCTTGACATCAGTCACACCTAAGCAGTCTCTGTGTGATGGACAGTGGCACTCAGTGGCAGGTATGACGTCCAGTCTTCCTTTTCATCTGATTTAAATGTCCCAAATGCAGCCTGAGTTTATTAATCCATTAGTGTCAACAAAGTTAAAATTCCAAACCAAAATTAACTTGACTATAATAAAGAATTAAAAAGCATGTATTTGAGCAAAAGGAGCTGCAGCTCAGGCGACACAGATTCAGGTAGCAACCTAAATTGTGTTCCATTGAAACAAAGGGGAGGCCATCTCCTATAGATAAAGATCCTGCCCAAGTTCCCAATTTTATGCAAATATGTTTCTTAATTGTGCAGCTCTTATTGGTCAGTATAGATGCAAATGAGGATACAATTTGTATGGTTCTGATTGGACAGAGCAGATCTTAATCCATTGGTGAACAGATGAAACCAGGGTGTCCCTGCGGTGGTTGGCTCAGATGGCTAAACAAGCAGGGCCGAGTGCGGGAAGCCGAGAGTTCAGGCTGAGGTTCTTCTCAGTATACTGAGTATCCAAGGAGCCCCTGTCAGCCAATGGCCTAGGCTCTTACTATTCATAAAATGTAGGCCCTTGGTTGACCATGAGGAGCCCGTAAATTCCTTCTCAGGCTTCACATCAAATGACTCTCAGGGTCCACAACATGGTGAGAGCGGGTCCATTCTCACCCCAAACCATACTCACGTAATTCATGACTGCTGCCTCCAGTTCTCCATAACACACTGCCATTTTTGTTTTTCGAGCCCACAAAACTGATAAGCTGTGTTTATTTTCAAGGTAGTATAACATTGTGATTTAGATTTTGGCCATGAAGTCAAAAAGAACAGAGGTGAAAATCTCAGTCCCAGCCCTCTCCTGTGTGGCCGTGAGCGAGCTACTTAATTGCCCTTCACCTTCAATTTCCTCATATGCACAATGGAGCTGAGTATATACCTCCCAGGGTTGTGAAAATTAAATGGGGTAATGCATGAGAAGTGCTTAGCAGTGTCCCATATGTAGTAAGTGCTCAATAAGTATTTGCTCTAATGTTAAAGTTCATTGTTGTTGTTTTAAAAATAGCTGTTTACTATGAATGCAAATGATTTAAACCACCAGGCAGAGAACAGGCACAGCCTTTCAAGTCGAATCTGCTATTTTATGAATAACTTGTGGACATAAGTTTGTAGATATATTAACCTGTTCTGGCTAAAATATCTTTGTAAAAAAAAAATAGTCTTTTCTTGCCTAATTTGAAAGCTAACTACATTGCAATTAGTTAAGATTATTTACATGGGAGGAATTTTATTTTAAGGGCCAAAAGTGACTGTCTTTGGAGTCAGTTTTCAGAAGTCAGTGTCTTCTTGGAAAGAAGCTGAGACCACATGACATAAGCATGGCCTCTGGAGATAGGAGACCAGGGCTCGAGTCCCATTCAACTTATAACCAAGCTCCTCAGTAACTGAGAGTCAGTCTCTTATGTGGGAAATGGAGTGACAGTATCTTTCTCACAAATTTTAAGGATTAAATTCTGTAAAATATGTGGAAGCACCTGAACACCACCTGGTGTGGAGAAACAGTTGAATTTATGTCTAGGTTGACTGAATTCCTGAGGATAGTGCTGAGGACAGGTCCAACAGGAATGAGTTAAAAGAAGCCAGTGGTTACACACTTGTGTAGATATTAAACAGTGGGCAGGGTTCATCTCAGGTAATACCTGACCAGCTTACTTTTCCTCCAGTCACCATAAAACAACACATCCTGCACCTGGAACTGGATGCAGACAACAGCTACACAGCCGGACGGCTCCCCTTCCCGCCTGCCAGCACTCAGGAGCCACTACACATTGGAGGTGTCCCAGGTAACTCTTGTCATGACTTCTACACCATGGTTTCCCATGTCAGCTGTTAACATGTCCATTGTAACCCAACAAATGAGATACCCCAGCCCATGGGTTATCAATAGAGCAGCCATTAACTGTATAGTGGAAATGATGAGGCCCTTTGCTCTAGCACATGGGGAAACCCAGTTGTCAGCAATGGACAGATTTAATGGCTGCTCAGGCCACATTACTGCTGCTTCCTCTTGTCCCAAGCCTATAACTTACAAGCCTCTCTTAAGAGGCTGTGTTAACCTAGATGCCTGATATCAGCAAAGGATCAGGAAAGGGACTGAGAAACTGGTCTCCTTTTCAGGCATTTACTGGTGAGTTATTAAGCTTTGTGGGGCCAGAATTGGACAATCAGGCAGGTTGAAGCGGAGTCAAGTGCAAGACTAGAATTTTGCTTGGAAAGAGTCTTGTCATTCTTCATTGTTTTGTGTCCCTCCAAATAGTTTGGTCATTATACAGGTCTTCCATGACCCATAAATAGCACTTGCATTTAGAGTTATTATCTGTTGATTTGGGCTGTGGAATTGAAGAATTTGAAGAGTAGCCTTGTGCTGATTTACCACAGCAGGTGGGGTGTTGGGTGCCTGCTTAAAGGGAGGAAATGACTGGGTTGGTTGAAACCCTGGGTCCCTTCAGTGCTAATCTATTTTTTAAATTGGGTGCATCCATTTGACAGTATGAATTATCCATTGAATGCCTCTCCTTTTCCTCTTTCAACAGATTTGAAGACCCTGAAGCTCCCTGTCTGGAAATCATTTTTCGGCTGCCTGAAGAATATTCAAGTCAACCACATTCCCATCCCTGTCACTGAAGCTGTGGAAGTCCAGGGGACTGTCAGTCTGAATGGCTGTCCCGACCACTAACTCAAACCGATCACACAGTGAGGAGATTCACCTTTAAAAGCACTGATAAGCAACGCACCTCCCTCTCCCTGCTCAAGGTCATTCTTGACTTAAGACACCATGCAAACGGATTCAGTAGCAAATCCAATTTTGAAAGTCGACCACACATAACCATCATTTTGGCATTCAGTGCTACATATTATTTTATATAAAAATCCCAGTTCTTGAAGATGGTGAGCAAATTGTTATATGCTTTTGGTAATATCATTTCCCACTAAAAATGAAATGTCTTTTAAAGAACATTATTTGCCACTTGTTAAAAAATAAATATCTTTTAAAGCACTTTAAAAATACAAAAATTTTACATCTGTTAAGGGGTTATCATTTATGAGGTTAAATTAATGCAGTGTACTCTTTAAATTATGATGTTTTATTAACATAAAGCCAGTGGCTTGATGGTCATTGTTAATCATATTAATTCTTCACCTGTGCTTACTACAACACAGTTTTCTACAAATAATTATGATCCCATACTGGTAGGTACTATGTGCGCTCAGTGTTGGGTCTACAGTCAGATATAAGAAGCAATTCCTGCCCCGAAGGATATGCAGTCCAATTTGGGAGACACATAATATTCATAAAATCCTAAATAACAAACCAATTTAATAGACCTATAATCCACTTGGCTTCCCACATACAGTCTGCTACCAGTCAACTCTAGATTATGATGAATGATTCCTAAAGAGCAAAACCTATCTTGTAGGGAAGCTGAGGTGGATGGACATACTGTAATTGAAGCTTGGCATGGCAGGCTAACAGGAGTCAATGGAAAGGAGGAGTTGCTTCTAGTTTTATCTACAAAATAATGAACCATGTACTAGACCAATATTATTACCCAGCACGACCCTCCCTAACAAAGACTGTGTAGAAGGCTACACAGTGTTTGTTCATCAGGAAGAAGAGAACAAACCATTCTGAAATTTGGATACCATAATTCTATATGATATTCTTATGGCCACATGCCCGCCCCCCTCTGAAGTTGAGCCAAATTCCCTTCAACTCAGTGCTGTTTTTATGCCCCTCACACTGCAGTCCTGTGGGCGTGCTTTCGAACAGCCATATCTACACAAGCACAGAGTGTTCTACTGGAGAGGTCGCAGGTCCCCATCACAGGGACTATTCATCAGAGGCTTGCTGGTAGACCTTAGAGATGCTATGCTGGGTCAGAGATTGAATTGTACGACCTTAAATCATGTATTTTCAGAAAACATTGATTTTCAAATGAAAATGTCACCAGGTGATTACCACCCAGACACTGAGTCTGCAGGAAAAGCATCTGTTTCACCTGTCTTTGGCAGGTCTGCACCAAACAGGAGATTCTTCTGGGTTCCTGGTGTTATCGTAACTGAATCTACAAAGTTATTCATTAGTGTTGATTATTTATCAGCACTTTCTAGATTCATTATAAAGGGGCAGTTAATTCTTCACTAATACCGTGGTTGTCCCTCCATTTTATAGTGCCTTGAGAAACAGCTGTTTATCTGCCTTTGCTGAGTATAACCCCAGCCACCAGAGGGCAGAAGAGAGTGGCACAGGTGGAATTACAGTTGGGGACTCAGAAAGCCCTCAGTGTGGCTTTTCTCAGATTGCAAACGTGTTTGCAGCTCCTCAATTGAACTATTATGGAAATTACTTGTAAACTGTCATGTGCCACACAAATACTATCACTGTTCTTTTCTTCCCGGCTCACATCTCACAAGTAGTGCTGACCTTTGTTGGGGTAACAGTCTAAGGAGAGGCTTCAAGATCACTGGTGGCTGACTCTGACCAGTTCACGACAGGGCCACAGTTGGTTTCCTTTTGGTCCGGGGGAGTGGGGCCTGGATTGTCAGATAACTGTCAGCATATCTCCCTGGGCAACCGTCTTTCCAGGGGCACCAAGTGACTATGAAGCAATTGTGTATCTCCATGGGCTGCTTCTCCAACATCTCTCAGGACACCTCTTGACCTCACTCTTCAATACTCAGGGTTGTCAGTTTTTTGTTTTGTTTTGTTTGTTTTTTTAAATATATCTTTATTGATTTCAGAGAGAGGAAGGGAGAGGGAGAGAGAGAGATGGAAACATCAATGATGAGAGAATCATTGATCGAGCCTGCAACCCAGGCATGTGCCCGGACCAAAAATCGAACCCTGATTGCCTGGATCCTAGGTCGACGCTCAACCGCTGAGCCATGCCCGGCCAGGCAGGGTTGTCAGTTTTTGCCACACTCACAGTAACCCCATGGTAGAGGTCAGTGGTCCAGGGCAGAACATGCTGGCATTCCCTTCCTCCCAGGGAGTGGCCTTGCTTCCCCACAGAGAGCTTTGACTCCGCTCCTTGCTGCTCCCGCTCCCCCACAGTGCTGCACTGCCAAACCCCTAACCCCGACTCCTGCTCTCCCAGCCACCTTCCTCCTCTCTTCCAGGTCCCCAGCTCTCTTTTTACTAATTCAGCTTTGGGTAGGTTGTTGCTTGCCCCAGAAAGGCTAGGTTTCTTACGAATGATGACATGGAGCCAGCATATGAGTGGAACCATTTTTAAATAACATTATTTCATTGAATACAAATGATATATATGTAAATTATAGAAAATTAGGATATGCAGAGAAGCATAAAAACACCCATAATCTCATCACTCAGAAATCTTTGTATTTAGTTAGATGTCTATTATTCTTTGTATTTTCTTACAAAATCACAATTATACTGTATATATTTTATAAGGTTTTTAAAACTATATAGTGACTGTTTCCCAGGTCTTTGACTGTAGAGCACTACATCAGATGAATTTATCATAATGTATTTAACCAACTCCTAGAATGAATATGTCATAGAATGTAAACTTACATATTTTCTTAGGATAAATTCTTAGACGTAAAACTACTAGGCCAAAGGATATGAACATTTTTATGTTTGTAGTTAGCTATTGCCAAATTGTTTCCTAACAGGTTATAATCCACTTACATTCGTATCTTTTGAAACTGGCCATAGGCCCTGATGCCATTAAATACAGACTCAGCAAGGTCTGCCCATGGTCTGGAAGACAGGGAGCACCTGTTGGAGCAGCCGGCTCATAGAGCTCCATGCCCCGGGCTCATCTCAGCCAGAATCACATCACCTGGAGCTGATGGGCTCTGGTGGGTGATTCTGCAAAAACGCCTCGAGATAGCAGGCAGTTTAATTATTTGTACTAAAGAACCAACGCTGAGCCACAGACACAGCCAGGTTTGCAGAACATGTCACTCTTTGAGAGCTCCAAACCAATGCCAGGCCTGGGACGTGTTTTCAGAAAGGATCAGGGCACAGCTCTGAGGGTTTGAGGGGGTACTGTGCTCCCCATGGCATCAGGGGGATGGCCAGTTACAGCCACCGAACCTCAGCCACAGCTCTGGCCAGCGGCTTTCTCTTCCACCCTGTAAGTTCGCTTTCTTTGTGATTGAAACTTCCAGAAGGATTCGCTCAAGTAAAATTTCCAGGGCTTATTTATGTATTTGGAAGGCTGTAGTTTGTTTGTTTGTTTAAAATTTCCACCCCACCCTTCCTGTTTGGCAACCATCAGCTTGTTCTCCATATCTATGAATATGTTTCTGTTTCATTTCATTTATTCATTTTTTTTTTTTTAAGATTGCACATATAAGTGAAATTATGCAGTGTTTGTCTTTCTCTGGCTTATTTCACTTAGTATAATATCCTCTAGGTCCATCAATGTTGTCATAAATGCAAGATTTCATTCTTTATTTCTGAAGAATATTCCAGTGTGTGTGTGTGTATGTGTGTGTGTGTACCACATCTTCTTCCATTCATCTATTGATGTACACTTAGGTTTTCTCCATATCTTGGCTATTACTAGTAATGCTTCAATGAACATAGGGATGCGTATATAGTTTTCAATTTAGTGTTTTTGTTTTCTTTGGATGAATTCTCAGAAGTGGAATTGCTGGATCATATGGCAGCTATACTTTTAATTTTTTGAGGAATCTCCATACTGTTTTCCACAGTGGCTGCACCAATCTGCATTCTCATCAACAGTGTACAAGGGTTCCCTTTTCTCCACATGTTCATCAGTACTTGCTGTTTGTTGATTTATTGATGATAGCCATTCTCACTGTGGTTTTAATTTTCATTTCCTTGATGGTTAGTGACATTGAGCATCTTTGCAGATGTCTATAGGCCACCTGTGTGTCTTCTTTGGAGAAGTATCTATTCAGGTCCTCTGCCCATTTTTCACTTGGATTGTCTGGTTTTTGGTGTTGAGTTGTATGAGTTTCTTATAAACTTTGGGTACTGACTCCTTTTTGTGTGTGTCATTAGCAGATACCTTCTCCCACTCAGGAGGGTGTCTTTTTGTTTTATTGATGGTTTGCTTCATCGTGCAAAATTGTTTTAGTTTAATGTAGTCCCATTTGTTTATTTTTTCTTTTTTTTCCCTTGGACAAGGAGATATATTAAAAAAGATATTGCTAAGAGCTATATGAGAGTTTACTGCCTATGTTTTCCTCTAGGAGTTTTATGGTTTCAGGTATAATATGTAAGTCTTTCATTCATTTTGAGTCTATTTTTCTATATAATATAAGAAAGCAATCCAATTTTTTTCCAACATCACTTATTGAAGAGGCTGTCTTTACCCCATTGTATATCTTTACCTTCTTTGTCATATATTACTAGGCCAAATAAGTGAGGATTTATTTCTGGGCTTTCTAGTCTATTCCATTAATCTATACATCTTGTTTTTATGCCAGTACCATACTTTTTTGATTATTGTAGCTTTGTAGTATAGTTTGATGCCAGGTAGCGTGATACTTCCCACTTTGTTCTTTCTTAAGATTTCTTTGGCTATTTGGGGTCTTTTGTGATTTAAATGGGTAAAAGCTCAAGTCCCCATCCCTCTCATCACTCTGCCCCCCCAACAGAGAAATCCAAACAAAACTCTTCTTAACATGAGTGATAGTGGTAATAGTGGTGGTAGCAGGTGGCATATGTGTCATGTTTCCAGTTTCTTAATTTGCCAAACAATATAACTTAATTTCTCAGCATAGAAATTCTAGCATAAGGTCTGGATGCCTGAGTGTGGAAAGCAGAGATAAGATTGAAATATCTCTGCTAATCATGGGGGGGGGGGGGGGGGGGGG